AGGGGCCTTCAATAAACTAATCACAATAAAGTACTGTATTAGCAGTTTGCCTACAAAATACACAGTCACAGTAAAATCTGACAAAGCAATTTGTAACCTGAAAAGCGCTTGGTCAAATGCAAGGATTTTTATTATTACTGGAGACCATTGTTGGGAACACCCTCTCGTGGCAGAAATCAAGGTCTGTAGCACTTTAAAACTCCAGTCACACAGCTTTGAGACATTTCAACGACATGATAAGGCGCTATATCAAATGGAAGGATTATTACTAATGCCCCAAGTAGTCATTGTTTACAGATGACCCTTGGCAGCGAATGTTTGCAGGCTATTTGACAATGACTTTGCAACTAAATCAACAGCCACATTGAACACACGCGCGCACGCGCGCACACGCACGCACACATACAGAAGGCATCAGGAGAAAGGAAAAGGATTAAGAACCTTATGTGACTCTCGCTGCTCTAAATTGGGGCCTGACATCAGACACATCAAGTCTACAGAAAGCTGAGATCAGCCAACTCAGCACACAGCGAGGATCGAATCTGGGACCTTCCCATTCAGGGGAGCTGTGAAACGATCTTTATTACTCTTATTTTAGCTGCACAAAGCAGCAATGTGCACCTCCACCCCATAAAATATGTGAGACCGCGTTGGATTTGTGAGGTGTGTCATCACCGTGCCAACCAGCATGACAAAATTAGAAATGAGCACAAATCAAATATTCAAAAAGTTTTGGTCTATATATATTTTTTTCCACAGAGCTTGCCATCCAATTAGTTCTTATGATATAGTCAAATCCTCCCTCTCTCCTTGGTTTAGAATTGTCTGTCTCTTCTGTCGTTTGGAAGAACAGACAGCAGAGCAATGCATGTCGGAGAAACAATAGCCAGACAATCAGGCAGCACTGGAGGTTTGGGTTAGAGGTTTCACGTTAAGAAAAGTATGAGCTATTCCATGTGTTCTTTATATACCCCAGAAACCTAAAGGTGCTCTAATGAGTCAGTGAATCAATGCACTGTGCAGTGAGCTAACACACGCCAGAAATGAGCCAAATTTGAGCCCTGATCTGTGCTGAGTTAGCTCATCTCAGCCAAGGTAGTACTATAATTGGCCTCAAAATGCATGAACTATGGAAGAGTAAAAGCCGCTGTTCCCATTTTGGATTGCTCTCCAGTGACCCTGCAAAACAGGGTGTGTGTAAGGAAAAGATCAGGTTCTGTGGTAAGATAGACTGCTGAGTCTCACTGTTTCAGTTCATACAATGAGAGATGGCCAGTTGGACGAGGTAGCAGAGTTTGGCTGGAAGCTTTACACCAGCGTGAATCGAGCTTCAGGAGCCCATGGATTATGGCAAAAACTAGGAATGTTCTATATGAAAAGAAAACAGTTTTTATAACATGTTGTAAACATGTGGTACACTCACACCATCTGGTGGCCATTGTTTCAGCGGCTTCACAGTCTCGAACAATGGAAAGTCAGTCGCCAGTAAGCATCGTAAAAGAGTTCAGATTCAAACAGTACGTAAAATATACGTAATCGATTCACAATGATTTTTACTTTAAAACTTCAATCTCAGAGCCTGCTCAAAGTGCTTCACTGCAAGGTATAGTGACTGTCTATTCTATAGACGAACGCAGCAACTAATCTGGGCACAGCAATGTCGCACAAGCCATGAAATGAATGACCCACTTTAGCACATGTAAGTGCAAGCTGTCGTTTTATTCCACACAGATGCAGAGAAATGTGTCACATAGTTTTGGTCAGAAGCGTATGAGAAAATAAAGTTCCACGCTGAGAACCGCATTTGCATAACCATTGTGACATGGAGTCCTGTAGCTCGGTGGTTAGAGCAATTGCCTCGCAAGCGAGCGACCTGGGTTCGATTCCCGGCAGGGCGAAACCTTAGGCAAGTTTCCACACCCCTGATAATAATCCCTCAAGAAAAAAAAACAATAAATTGGTCACATCAATCCACAGCTGTTTGTGGGACACTGCTGTGCACAATTGGCTGCCGCATTTCGCCTATAAATATATATATAGTCAATTCACTTTACAATATATGCTTCAGTGAAGCTCTTTGAGATGTCTAGAAGACGTGAAAAGCGCTATATCAAATGCAAGGATTATTATTATTATTATTGCCTCTGCTGTACACTTTGCTTCAATGAATATCGTTCACTTCCGTCTTACATCAGAAACAGCACAAAAAAACCTGTAAAAATAATAATAATCCTTGAATTTGATATAGCGCCTTATTGCGTAATTGAGATGTCTCAAAGTGCTTCACGGAATATTCTGTAAAGTGGATTGACTGCATATTTTGCGGATGAAACGTGGTAGCCAATTGCGCACAAAATGGAATAAATTCAAATTAATATGACACTTAGGTGTCCCTGTTCTTATATACCACTTGTGTGGGAGAATGACATAGCTATTCTCTTGTGCGTTGTGTGTTCTGTTTCACTTGCGAAATTAAAAATACGTTGGAAAATGCATTAAATGGCACCTTCCTTTAAGGAAGCTTAAGGGCTGAATGAATGCTGCAATCGCAATTGAACACAACAGTTCCCGCTGTTAACGTTGCACAAGTAGGTTAATGGCAGGTCACTGCAAAAGCAAAAAGAGGACACATTGACAAATATCTTGTCATGTTCAGTCATCATGGAGATATATGAGAAAAAGTCCAACGTTGAGGATCTGACTCAGTTATTACTCTCAACCCAAGTTCATGCTCCATGTGTGGGTGTGTGCACAAATTCCCCTCTTTGTCATATTTATTTAAAGACAGAGGAGCTATACATTTCCACAGCCGGGAGTACTCTGTAGCAGATTTATCACCTTGTAAAAATTGCATTTTCCATTGTGCGTGGGACTGGTGCTCAAGACCAAACTGATTCAAATCGGAAAGAACGTTTGAGACAGCTCCATTCTGAAGTGTTAGAGAAATTAGTGAGATTTATATTGTCCAAAGCCAATGGGTTATTCTGGCTCAGATACAGAGGTTTCAATGGAACGAAGCCTCAATGAGACAGCACGGTAATGCAGTCATTGATACTCCAATGCGCTAACCCACAAAGTCATAGGACACATCCACTATTCTTCAAATTAATTTCCATTTAGTGGAGCTCCTCATCAGAAGCCACTTCCTCTTGGGAGAGACAGTCATTGTGACTCATTCCAGGTTCTCTTGCCCACTTCCTTGCACTACCTTTTAAAAGCCCCTGAAGCATATCACTGCCAGAGATTTAACAGCACCTTGTCCTGAGAGGCATGATATAAAGAGCCCTAAAAATTAGTCAGACGCAAAAAAAACATAGAGGCAGGCTTGGAAAACATTCTCGTTGCTGTTAAAATTATCCTCTGGTGTATTTGCATGGAATCTTATCTGTATTTCTGTACATTCTGCTGTCCATGTACTGTTTCCTGTTATGTTTGTTTTAAAACCTCCTTCACTTCACAATGAATTAATGAAACCCCTGGTGAGGTCACTGCTGTACTTTACTGAAAGCTCAAGATGTGGTAATCCTGACTAAATCAATATGTAGGAAAGAATACACAAATATTGACATGACAGTTTACAGCTATAGCAGTAACTACAGCATTGACTCAGAGGCCAGAGAATGGCCTGAGATTGTGCATTAATACAATACAAATTTACATTTATATAGTGACTTACACGTCGGGAGGATGTCCCAAGGGGCTGGACGTTCCAAGGTTTGCACCCGAGCTGGGGTTGAGGGGTTTTGGGCGAGGTGGGGAATAATACAGGGGCTGTGGTAGGATTGAGACAGTGAGGCTGATGTCTCAGTATTTTTCTATTTTTGAGGCATTCTTGACGGGTTCTGGTTCACTCACGGAAAGATGTGCTGGTTTACTTAGTTCTGATTGATTGGAGGCATCAGAGGGGTCAAATGGACCGAGAAAGGTCTGAAATACGAGCAGTAGCAGTTGAAGGGAGTGCTAAGAGCAGAATCGGTCCACTATGAGGGTTGAATGGTGTTCTCCACAATAAGCGTATACAAATCCAAAGAAGGACCAAGATGTATTCTGCCATCTATATCCTCATACGAATGGATACCAAACGCAAGGATTACTTTATTTATTACTTAATGAGGCAAGGCGGACACTTGATTTGGACCAAAAAAGCATGAATAAAAGTGGTTATAAAGAACTTGAGCGATTAGCCTCAGTCAAACTGTTTATCTGTCTGTCCATCCCGTGAACAAATTAAAATACACGTGTCGTGCCCAAAGTCGACCAAATACTAGCCCAATTAATAAATAATAATAATTTGGTCACTCTCGGGGTGGGGGGACGCTGTTCTGCGCAATTGGCCGCCGCGTTTCGCCCGCAAATATATACAGTCAATTCACTTTATACTATAGTCTGTGAAGCGCTTTGAGACGTCGCCTGATAAGGCTCTCGCTGCGGCAAATACGAGGATTATTGTCATGACTATTATTATATATTATTATTACATATTATCAAAAAGTAGCCCAGTATGTCTGCTCTGGGGGTAGCAGAGCGGGCAATTTAGGGTCAGCCCTTTTGAACCTACGTAAGAAAGCGTCTTCCGAGGAAAGAAAACGCTTTGCAAATTCAAAAATGTTTGGGGGTGGGGGGGGGTTTAAAAAAAATTAGGCAAAAAAAACCTGTGATTTTTTTTTAACACTCATTCAGAGTGGGGGGGAAAACCGCCCGATCTCGCCCAATTGGGCGTGGAAACCGCCCGATCTCGCCCAATTGGGCGTGAAAGCCGCCCGACCGAAGCAACGCGTTGCTTCTGCGAGAAGCTCTGGGGTTTCCTGCCACACGTTTGAAGGGCAACGTGGCCGGATTGGGCGGCTTTCACGCCCAATTGGGCGGATTTTTTTTTCTCTCTCTCTCCCCCTCTCTCTCTCTCTCTGGTGCTGGCGCTTGCGCTTCGGGTGGTGGGCAGTGTGTGGAGGTGGGGGGAAGGGCTTTGGGTGGTGGGTGGTGGGTAGTGGGGGGGGGGGGGGGTCGGGAATGCGCGGCATTGGGGGCTACTTTCCGGGCGGTATTTGGGCGGCACACGGCGTGGGCTCTCGGGCCGTTGCTTAGTGACGGGACTGAGGCATTTCGGGAAAAGACAAGATGGCGACGCCTATGCACAGGCTGATCGCTCGCAGGCAAGCGTGAGTACCCCCCCCCCCCCCCCGGCCCCCCGGCCCACCCCCGGCCCCCCGCCACAGCACCTCGGGCTTGCTGTCCCCTCGCTGGCGGCTGGCGAGGCCGCAGGGTGTGGGTCTGACGCTGCTATTTCTCACTTCCCGGGAAGTCTTCACTCGCTCGACCAGGACCAGGAGGTGGTGGTGGTGGGGGGCGAGGCCCGGGGCCGCCGCCCTCCTCAGACGCTGCTGTCACACACACACACACACACACTCCCCTCCTCTCCCCTCTCCTCTCCTCAGGCCTCGCTTCTCCCCCCCCCCCCCCCCACCCACCCAGTGATAATAATAATTGTATTCGACCTCAGAGCCTCATCACGTCTTCGAGACGTCTCAAAGCGCATCACAGGATACGCCGTAAAAGTGTAGCGACTGCGTATTTTGTGCACGAAACGCAGCGGCCAGTCGCGCGCGGGGCGGCGTCCCCCACCCCCGCAAACGGCCGTGCATTCAGGAGACCGGTCTGTTATTATTTTTTTTAAAAAATCGACGGGGTCACTGCTCCCGGAGAAAGCGATCCGCTAAACGACTTAAAAGCCGGGTTCCGGCTTACTGCTCGGCAAACAGAGGCGCTTGGAGTAAGGAAACTTGCCCGGTGTTTCGCCCTGCCGGGAATCGAACCACCCAGGTTGCGAGGCGAGAGCTCATAACCACGGCGCTGCAGGATTGCACGTACACTGCTGGTGGTATTTGTTGCGTGTGTGTGTGTGCGCGCGTGTGTATCAGCCTCCAGCACTCAGTAGGTAGCACTCTCGCCTCCGAATCCACATCAGGACTTGAACTCACGTAGTCTGAACTGACATTACAATGGCGCGTCGGGTGGGGGGGGGCCGAAGCCGCATTGTCAGAAGTGCAGTCTCTCGGATGAGACGTTAAACCGAGCTCCCGTCTTTTGTCTGCTTTTTCAGGTGGATGTGTCGGGAAGATGGGTTAGGAAAAGAGAAAGGTGTTTCTCTCTCCTTAGTCTTCGTCAACAAATAAACCCCCAAATAAAACTGGACACTCACTCCATGGCTGTTTGTGGGATATTGCTAGGTGTAAACTGGCTGCCATGTTTGCCCACAAAATACAGTGAATCCACTTTACATTATATCCTGTGAAGCGCTTTGAGACATCTGGACGACGTGGTGAGGAACTGTTTCAAATGCGAGGATTATTATTATTCTATCAATGGACTGAAAATGAAAATGCTGGTGAGATTTACCAGCTCGAGACAGTTTACAAGTCCAGTCAAACAAATGGAAGAACGTCACACTCCTCCAAAATGAGTACTCTTGTTCTTCCCCCCCCCTCCCCCGCCCCTTACTTTCCTGAAGGCATTTAGATAATTATTGTTACAATTGATGTAACATCTTTCACGTCAGGAGGATGTCTTGAAGCGTTTCACCAGATATTACTGTTAAGCACTGCAACTATGTATTTTGCAGGTGAATGACTAAATGTGTAGATTACATCCTGCTTTATCCAGTCCCTTACTTTAGGTGTTTTTTCTTTTGCCGAATACCTTTCTGACATTGTCAGATTGCTGGTCTCTCTGCCAAGCGGTCATTCGCATGCATTCTGGACACCTAGTGATACACATCACAGACGAGTCCAAATCTGTCTACAGATACACATCTGTATCAAGTCAAATGAAGACAGGGAGCTCAGCGCAGGTTAATTTATTGCTTCCTGATTGCAATTACAATTCATTCCAGACTGGCATCAAACATGAGACGTTCCTGATCTGTATCTAGTACTGCATCCCAGATGTGGATTACAGAACTCTGCGGCTCGTGTCCTCTTCTGAACTTGGCTTTGTGAGTCGATCACACTCAGCCTTGCCCAGCTCAACTGGCTTCCCATTCATCAGAGATTAAGTTCAAGATCCTCGACCTCACTTTTAAATCCTAATACGCTCCCCCTTTATAATCACTGACCTCTCTACTGCTGTTAACACGATTTGGATTTAGCCATTTACAATAGATTGCAAGATTAGTAGAGAATAGATTTATCAGAAGAGATGAAAAGGTGCGGTTTTGGTTGGTGTGTTGGTCATCTGCGCAAGTGCAAGAAATTCTATGTGTTTATCCCTCCCATTTTGTTTGCAATTGCAAATCTGCATGAGTATTGTGTATTTTCATTTTCAGAGAACAGACTTGGAAAAAGTATTGCTTTATAATACTGGAAATGCAGTACTGTTGTAATTGTCTCCAGATTATTCTCATCTAATGTTTTTTTTCCTGCATTGCTGACGTTTTGCAGATGAATAAACATAATCATGAGTACAGTGCTTCAAATCATGTCTCACAATTGGATCTGTCAGTCCACTTGATCTAGATTGAATAAGCATCCATTTTTGAATAGGGAGGAGTGATTTTCCAATGTCATTATGAACTCTTTTTGCACTGATATTTGTTAATGGGTAAATTGTGCATAGAAACAAAATGCAAATTGGTTTCTTTACACAGTCCTACTTTGAAAACCATTGAATTAAGTAAAATAAACCTACTAATAATCCTTGCATTTGATTTAGCACTTTTCACATCAGGAGGATGTTGCAAAGCAGTATTTACTATAAATATAGTGTCTGTATTTTGTAAGTGAATGCAGCAGTGAATGACAAATAAGTCGGCTTATTAAAGCAGTGTTTATTTATTATTCTGATTTTGTCATCTTTTTAGGGAAGCCAATAAGCAACATGTTCGATGTCAGAAATGTTTAGAATATGGCCACTGGACCTACGAATGCACTGGAAAGCGGAAATATCTACACAGACCATCACGGACAGTACAATTAAAGAAGACTTTGAAAGAGAAACAAAATGCATTAGCATTGCCACCCAGGTGAGTGTTTCATAATAAAAGCTGCTCTTAACGCCCGCCCCCCCAACACAGTTCAGAGGATAAACTCAGTCATACATAACTGAAAGGTTCAAATTTGGATTCCCAGTATGTGTTGAATTTATAGATCTTGGCTAAATCCGTTGTGTTTCAAAGATTTCCTCTGTGTCTCTTGACTAAGAGAGAGGAAGATGAATTTATTTGTGATCACTATACAGTAACTCCCTGCTGGAAATATGCAAGTATTTAGATTGGACGAGGACAGGATTGGACTTGGCTGTGATGCTTGCCGCTGTTAAATACTAAAATAATAGATACCAGAAGGCTGAAGTTAAAAATTAGGAAAATAGGGAAGCTTGCGTCCTTATTGTAATTTATTAATTTCAGAGAGGGTAGATATATGTTCATGATTGAAAATTTCAACATTTATGCCTGAGATGAGATAGAGCAACTAATATCACCAGGAGTATTATTTCCTGTGCAGGTTCATTAACGCTAAAACTACCCATGTTGGTTTAGGAATGATCAAAGCCAGTATTCAAGGTTTAATACTGTCATTTGTAATACGACTGGAGAGTCAGGAGAATAAATATTAGTCAACATTAAACATATTGGGTTCACTTAATAAAAGTGAATTTTAGCCGTTTGTTGTTACAAAAAAGTTTTTTTTAAAAAAACAGAATAACACATTAACATAGATAGAAGGTCATCTCTCATCTGTAATTTATAGGAACACTTGCTTATATTACAGATTGTAATACGTTAAGCCCCATTTTAACTGCTTGGGATTTTACTATTTTACTATTAATATATATATATATATTCACACACACATATATACATACACAATAGGATGCAATCGCTGAAAGTGACGTAATGAAAAATGGACAAGCTGCCATTTGTGCACATTCTATTGATAAATAAATGTCAGGTTCCAACACCCAATCGTACAATAAGCAAGCCTTCATTATAATGTAGCTCATTAAACTACTGTTTGGGGGTTGTTGGGATTTGTAAAACAACTTAAAGGGTATAATGAATAATAGTTGTAAAATATCCTCAATCCGAAACATTTAAATGCTTGTGTTTCTTAATTTCCAACAGTGCTCAGGGAGCTACAGAAAAAAAGACCAAGAAGAAACGGTAAATTTTAACAGCACAACAACAAGACCTAGTTGCACAATTCAGACTTTCCTTGTCAAAGCAAGATAAGTCTCTGTTAGGGCTGCAATATGTTCTACAAGTATATTTGATTAATTCCAATTCATTTCCCCAGAAACAGTCCTAACCTTTAAATGCCATTACATGAATATTTCAATAACAAGCCTTCCAGTAATCAGTGCCTCTGTGTTTATCTGCAAATTACGATGGTATATTTAACTTTGAATTTTGCACAAGTTACTGGATAGTGATAGTGATTTTCTCCCTCTTTCTTTTCACCTCCTCCATCTTGATATGTTGAACCCAATTATATGGTACCTTTCTTTCTCTCTCATTCCCCGTCCGCAATTGCCACTCTGAGTGAACTCAGCTAACATTAGCTCAAACTGTACGACACAGCAGCAGATAATGGAGTGTTTCTAACCCAACGAGATGTTGAGGAGGATCCAAAAATATACTGCATTCTAAGGAGATCTGAACTGCTGAGATTCTCAACATTTCTCTCAAGCTCCATATGTGGCAGAGAATCTGAGCTATTTTTAACTGAGTAGCATTGTTCAAATGTCAAGGTGCTCTTTGCATCTGTTGCTGTCTGTACGGGTAATTTGAGGCAGTGAATTGTGTAGCTACAAAAATGTCACCAGGAGGAGGTAATTAACTATTAATACCTGGTGAGAATATTTTCTATGGTGTATTTAACTTGTCTTTTACAAATATTACATCCACTTATTATACTGTTAGAAAGTCTAGATGGAGTAAAGTAATTGATTTATTATGGTTTCTTGATGTAGACTAGCATATTTCAGAATTAACAAAAGTGTATTTATCATTGTCATGATCAAAATACTGTGGCAAAGAACATGGCTTTATCTGTTGAAGTGAAGTGGCATGTTCCATTATTTGAAAACCTGCAAGCAATTAAATAGCCTTGTTTTATTGTAAAGTTTGAAGGTTTTTTTTTTAAACATGAACTTTTCTTGTAAACCTTCTAGAGAAAAGGTGAAATCTTGTCAATGTCGATTAGAAATATCTGTTGCAAATATAATTTATTTGTAGCTTTCATGTGATATTTCAAGCTTCCTATCCCCTTGCATGCTAATGGTATAGGAAAACACTTTTTTTTTAAAAATCCTTTAACCGCAGTTAATGTAATGATGTCCTATCTTAATGCTCCATTGTGGGGAAAAAAACTTAGGAAAAGTCCCTTTGTATTAAAAATGAATCCTCGATTAAATCAAAGGCAAGCAGACACAAAGGAATGAAACCCTAATGGATATATTGTAAATATACATTTTATTAATAAGAGATCTGTTTATCCCCTGTAATGAATTAGTAATTTCTCTGGTTCATGTGTTTGTTTTTTTACCTTCAAGATCTCAGAGTGTCAGCAGCAGCAGTAGCAGTACTTCGTCCAGTGAGTCCTCTTCAGACAGTGAATCATCATCCGATTCCTCCTCCTCGGACAACAGCAGCAGCGACGAGGATAGTTCATCAAGCGACAGCTCCTCCTCCTCGTCCTCTTCCTCCAGCGAAACATCATCCTCTGATTCGGACTCTGACTCCAGTTCCAGGAGTAGCGTAAGCAGCTCGGATGAAGAACCGCCCAAAAAGAAGCCCAAATCGTGATGCTGCTCCCTGTGTGAACTGTAGTCGGAAACATTTCATACCAAGCTGTTCGGTTTAAAACTTACCAATCGTTTCTGCAGTACCCGCCAGTCTTAGAATCTACTTAACGTTCAGATATGCCCTCTTTGTGAATCTGACCTAAACTTCCTTCGTCTGTCATGTGTGTGATTTCTACCCCATCGTTCCTCTGGATTGCACATTACAGTTTCATTAGCTAAATGCCATTAAGTAAAAAAGGGGTGGAGGGGGGGGGAAGAGAAAGGAAGGTCTGGTTCACCAAAGTGACTGTTCCCAAGATCAACAATGGGAGAAAGCTCCATGGTTGTACCAGAGAGGGGTAAAGAAATAATGGCAACAGTGCTGCATTTCTGTACTTTTGCCTTTGCTTGTAAAGTGCATACTTTGCTATTTTTGTACCATTTCCAAATTAAATTTAAAATTCACAAACCTGAACCTTGCCCTTATAATCGTCTCACCTGTCTTTGACTTACTGTAGTTTGTGACGGTCCTTTTGTTTGTTTTGATTTGTTTGTTGTTTTAAATAGCAAGTGTAATCTGCAATCTATTCATAAGAGATACTGAATCTATCTGTTTACCCACTGATTGAAACCTGTAGAGAGACTTAATTGAAATACTAACGGGTTTGGTGACCTTTGGACTAAACAGAAATATTGTTACGTACTCAATACATATTGGGAAATCCTTCGATCAAATGTGAGTACCCTGAACAATTCTCTTACCAATTGGCCATGAAGCTATTCTTGATAAGTTTAGATTATACAGCACTAGATTGAAAATGGGGTTTAACTAAATCGGAATAGAAATAGTCCACTACTCTTACAAATGACCAGATAATCAGCCATTTTTACATATAGCAGCTGTTTCTACATCTGGTATAAAATCTCATCATCTCCAAATCCTATGAATTGTTCTATTAACTTTTTTTTTAAATAGGGTGAACAACCTTACAGTAAGTCGATCATGACAACCATCACTGGATGGTAAGGTGTTTTAGGTCCTCTATCATCTTAAAGGTTATTCATTCTAAGGTTCTCTAAACCTCTCACTAACCCTTTCGGGTTTTTGTGTGTGTTTTAATGGATTAAACAAAGGTATTAATAGATATGAAGAACGATGTCCATCATAGTCTTGCTAACTTTATTGAGTAATTACAATTTTTTCCTCATGCTTGGGACACCTGTAACATGCAACAAGATGGGGCCTTGGCTTTCCAATGTCACTGCTTTAGCGAGTCCCAATGCAATACTGATAGCTTAAGACAGTGACTTATGGTTATAGTGAAATTACATTTATTATGGAAACTTATTTAAAAGAGAACATAGTGTAGGGATAAGTACTGCAGATGTTCTTGCTCTATATGTCTTCACTGCATCTTCTCAGATGTACGATTGCAGGGATATGAAACCTTGTAATTGGAGTTGATTCAGCAGCAAATGTATCCAAACATTTTTGCTTGTGATTTATGCGTCACTTTTCCTATTATCACTACACTATCGTTCCCCTTTTAATCGCAGGTGGTTGCCACTGAGTTGTATATTCTGCCCTTAAGACTGGGCATTTGTACCCATTTTTCAAACCGTACCAATTATTGTATCTTAGCATTGTGAGCAGTTAATTACAATGTTTATACCTGCATCATAGTGGTTGAACCAAGTCAATTGTTTTTTCCTCAGCATGCTGAATAAAGTAATTCTGAAAATATAATTTACTAATGGCAAATGTTTTAAATGCTGAAAAGTTATTAAAATGATATTTCAAATCTTATCACTCTTGAATTGTGTATATATAATGGTATTAACCTCTTTATATGATTTCTTCCATATTATCCAATTATAAAGTTGCAGATGTCTCCCCAGCTCCCCATGGACTAATGCACTAATGGTTTAATAGATATCTATTCAACCCATGACGACGCTTAGATGAAAATAAATAGCGCAGCACATCATTTCAATATTAATATTTATTAAATACAGATTGCCGTGTAGATATATTCAAGATTAAACTCCTGAACATCGCTCCATTAGTTTTCATAGTTTAAGATAAGAGATTTATTTAAATTGGTGGAAAATTGCGTTCTTATTTTTTACTTCCATTTTTCGTCTTGCTTTCCAATCTTCTGTCATATCACTCTCAGCTTCTTTATCTCTTTGAAAAACTTTGAGTAGCTGAGCAAGAGTGCCTTGGTTTTTAAAGTAATGATGAGAGATTGTTAAGGTTGTTAATTTTTAGAAAGTTGTACTTCCAAGCGTACTCCGATTTATTTTATATATTGTTACTGTAATGGATAGGGAACACTTGGGAACATTTCTCACTTGGAAACTGATGTGTTGAAACTATTGCTGGAAAAGGATTTTTCAGAGTCACCGAATGTTAACTATTGCAAATGGCCAGCCCACAGAGTGAAGATTTTAAAGCAGCCGCCAGCAATCAAAGGTTTACTGACTTCAATATCAATGTGAGTTGATGGCCAACATGATATTGATTTGTGAGGGTTTAATAAGATTACAGATTCAGTGAAATTTTGATCCATAAATAAATGTTTTAATCTCAAATAAAATAACAGCCTCTGTGCATGATATTAAGAAGCATTGCAAATAAAGGACAGTGAAGTCTCTTAAAATTTTGGGGGGTTTTAATCTTCGTACCATCCTATTACAAATGTTGGCATTGTTTAAGTTTAAGATGGTAATTTAGGGGATTGGTCTATGAAATTATAATAACTTGTTCTGTATCTGAGGGAGCTTTTGAACTAGTTTATGCTAGCTTGTTTAATGCTAATCTGAAATTGAAGCTATCCTTTTTAATATATATTGAACACAGAAAGTTTACTTCACTAATGATGTTAACATTATGCTGTAATTGAAGAGTTTTGCATTGTGATTTGAAATCAATATAGTGTAATTAGTGGAGTCCTGTAGCTCAGTGGTCAGAGCACTTGCCTTGCAAGCGAGACACCTGGGTTCAATTCCAGGCAGGGCGAAACCTTGGATAAGTTTCCTTACTCCACACACCTAATAATAATCCCTTCAAAACAAAAAACAATAATAAATTGGTCATTTTCAATCCACGACTGTTTGTGGGACACTGCTGTGCGCAATTGGCTGACCCGTTTTGCCCACAAATATAGTCAATTTACTTTACAGTCTATTCTGTGAAGCACTTTGAGACGTTGAGAAGACGTGAAAAGTGCTATATCAAATGCAAGGATTATTATTATTATTTGTATTATCAAAAGTGTATCTTAAATGTCCAGTATATTAATAGGTTCTAAATAATGTATGTTTTTTGGGGAATAAGACAACAACCAACAAAATTACATTTGTAAAGCGCCTTTCACGTCGGGAGGACATCCAAAGTGCTGGACACAAAGTTACGGACCAAAGTTATCGGGGTCGGGGAGTGTGGAGGGCAGGCGGGGAAGCAGGGAGATCGAAAGCATGGTCGAAGATGAGGGTCATGAGATGGGTCTTGAAGGTGGCAAGTGGAGGGGTTGAGGTGGAGGGACTGCGGGATAGAGTTCCAGAGGGTGGGGGCAGAGTGGCAGTGGGGCGAGCGAGGCGGTGGACATGAAGCAGTCAGAGCCCACCGAGCGGAGAGAGTGAGCAGGATGGAAGGGAAGAGCAAGACCGTGGAGGGCTTTGAAGGTGAGGACCATGATCTTGAACTGTATCCTCTGTGTGATGGGAAGCCAGTGGACTTGGTCGAAGATGGGGATGATAGGGTCATGGAGCCTGGTGTGGGAGAGGACACGGGCTGCAGAATTCTGGATGATCTGCATCCTATGGAGGGAGAAGTTGGGGAGGCCGACAAGCAATGAGTTTGCGTAATCAAGCCTCAAAGTAATAAAAGCATGTATGAGGACATACTTTAATATTTTGTGTGGATCACTTAAAATGTAAACAGATTCTCAATGCTCATAATAATAATAATAATAATAATAATCCTTGCATTTCATATAGCGCTTTTCACGTCGGGAGGACATCCCAAAGCACTTCATAGAACACACTGTAAAGTGAATTGACTGTATATTTGTGGGCGAACGCGGCAGCCAATTGCGAACAGCAATGTCCCACAAACAGTCGTAGATTCAAAATGACCAATTTATTATTGTTTTTGGTTTGGGAGGGATTATTATTAGGTGTGTGGAGTAAGGAAACCTTGCCCAAGGTTTCGCCCCGCCTGGGATTGAACTCAGATTTCTCACTTGCAAAGCAAGTGCTCTAACCACTGAGCTACAGGAATCCACAATGTCCTGGGGTAATAAAATAATATTCCTTACATTTGATATATATAGAACTTTATTACGTCGTTGAGATATCTCAAAGCACTTCACTGTAAAGTGAATTGACCATATATTTTGTGGACGAAACGCAGCAGCCAATTGCGCCCAGCAGTGTTCCACAAACAGTCATGGACTGAGTGACCAAATAATTTTTTTGAAGGGGTTATTACCCCAGGACAGTCATCTGCCAATCAACTAACAACTGGGTTCCTACTCAAATAGACATGTGATAAGATAAGGTACGATCAATGAGGTTTGTGTTTTTTTCCCCCACAGATTCCCAACACCTGTCACATCCCAGAAACAAAACAAAAATTGGTTTAAGGAACAAAGTTCTCTGTTTAGGTGTTTGTTTTCGGGTAAAATCGCTGAATGCAGTGAAATAAAAACCATTGTCACTCCACTACAGATCAAGTGGCCTACACCAGCTCGGGTCAAACAAAGTGGTTCACTCATTGTCCGTACCACCTGTCCACCATGGGACTTAATACATTCAATACAAAACTGAGTGACCAAAATGCAACAAAACTGCCTCCATTTAGAATAAATGGTTGGACTGCATTGCAAGAATATAATGTATATCAGGCTTGAGATGATATACAGTTGAGAAATGAAACTCCCAAGGCTTTGCTATGTTTATGATGTAATTGGAGCTTCCGGATGAATTGCTGCCTTTGTAATAGACTCCAGCTCATATGTTATCCAATAGAGTGTTACATGGTATGCAGTGCCCCTATAAAATGCATTAAAATAAAACCTAATACTCGACTAAAATCTCATGATTTATTTGCAGATGTTTGTTTTCTATTGCTGTCTGCCATGATATCAGCCACTGGTTAATACACTTGCCCAAGAACAGAATAAAAAGTTAACAAAGCTCCTTTTGTGGTTCAGCTATAGCCAGAAAAGCTACAGGTTATTTCACTGATCCACGCCTTGTTAGCTAATTTCAGCTGTCACAGCAATGGGGATACGATGGGCCTTCAACCCCAGTCTACATAGAGGAAAAATAACAAGGATTTGGCTCTATTGTCAATACTCAATGTCTCTTCCTCTCCCATTCCAGTGAAAAATGCATATGAGGTCAGGGTTAGGCTTCACTGGTTGAATTACTTGCCAAAACCAACATTCCAAGCTTTCTCATAAATTCACTTGGGTGATCCACCAGAGACTGCTGCTAACTCTGTGAAATTTACTGCAGGGTTATTCATCACTTTCATGAAAGGAGAATTAAGGGAAGAAATTTGAGATAAAACTAGCAGGGGGAGGGGGACAAGAAAGGAGAAAGGCTAAAATACAAATAAATTCGACTTGTATGTATTGTGTGGAATGATATGGGCAACATTTACTTGGATGCCTAAAAAATAATACCTTGTCTGTGTCAAGGGCATATCATTCTTGGGGGTTGGATGACCTGCATAGTGAGCTGTCACCTTTAATGTTTTTTGTGTAATGTGACAATCCAACTGAAGCCAAATGATTTTAGGATCCTGTAGATTTCAGCACACAAAGATTTTTGGTTAATTAAAAGGGACAGACTTATTGTGTATGGGACAATGTTTAGCAAACTTTTTCCTGTTTATTAAGCATTCAGATGCAAATCATGTCAAGGCATGTGGCTAGTATTGTGCCAAAAATGACATCCAGTTGGTTCATCTGCTTCCCTAACTAACAAAGATACTAAATCCCCAGCTGCGTCCCCTCTTATTGCAGCAACTTCAAAGGGGTTATGAGGATGATGTAAAATTTGGTAAGGCCACTGAATTTCAAACCTTGCCAATCACATGCTGCTATAGGATGTGGGGAGAACAGGAGGGGCATTGTCATTTGATCAGGGATGTGCCAAGGTTGTGCTGGGACCATGAAATGGGAGCAATGTTACACTTACATTTTAGAAAATGTTTCGATAGCATAAGTCTGATAATAGCTCCAAAATGCTGTCAATTAGACTGTCGGGATTTTTATGAATTCAAACAGATATACTGGTAATGTGCAGGTCAATCAACAGCAGAAAGATAAAGATGTTTTGTGAACAATGCTACATTTCTAGACAGCCTACTCAAAAATCTGGTGATAGATCTAGCGAGTTGTCACTTTTTTAATATGAATAGAAATGCACAACGGGTTCAGTCAAAAAGATAGATATTTAACGTTTGATCACTGGGTGGGACTTGCCTTCAAACCTTAACCTTTCTTTTTCAGTTGTTGTGCATTTCCAGCTTTTTTATTATTTTATTTCAGTATCTGAGCATTGTTTTTTTCTGTGTTATCATGTTTTCTTTATGCTTGATACAGAAAAGGACATTTGACAATCTTGATTTTGGCCCAAGTTAAAGTGAGCTTATGAAACGAGGCAGCACAGTTAAGTTTTAAACTAGTACTACTTTGATACGTTTGACTTATAATAAAAGAATGCAAAAATAAATATTTTTTCATACATTGTGCACCTGCTTTGCATTTCGAGCCTAATGTAATAATCCTTACATTTGATATTCGTCGTGGAGTCCAGTCGTGGAGTCCTGTAGCTCAGTGGTTAGAGCACTCGCTTTGCAAGTGAGAGACCTGAGTTCAATTCCAGGCAGAGGGCGAAACCTTGGGCAAGTTTCCTTACTCCACACAGAGCCTAATAATAATCCCTCCAAAAAACCAAAAACAATAATAAATTGGTCATTTTCAATCTACGACTGTTTGTGGGACATTGCTGTGCGCAATTGGCTGCCGCGTTCGCCCACAAATATAGTCAATTCACTTTACAGTGTGTTCTGTGAAGCGCTTTGGGACGTCCTCCCGACGTAAAAAGCGCTGTATCAAATGCAAGGATTATTATTATCATTATTATTAGTATATTTCACATCGGGAGGACTTTTCAAAGTACTTCACATGATAAATGTAATAACTTTTTGTGCGGAAATGCAGCGTCCAATTTGTGTACGTGCCAGGATTAGTACGATGATGAAGAAGATGGTGATAATTATTATTATTATTATTATTATCCCACCCCCAGGAGGAAGAGCTCAACCAGTATGGACTGATGGAGCAAATAATGCAACTGGGGGGGGTGATGGGTGCGTGTGACGTATACGACCGTGTCACGTGAGTGACGGGTCCGACCGTGTCACGTGACGGCGAGCAGCCCCTCCCCCCCTCCCACCCACCCCCGGGGGAGGGGAGGGGCGGGGCGGGGGGGAGAGGAGAATCCCGGCATGCAGCGCGCTTGGCGGCAGGGCGGTCACGTGACGCGCCCTCTCCCTGGTTACCAGCTGTTCCTGCTCCTAAAATGGCGCCGGTATGATTTTTTTTGTGTTGTGTGTTTTTTTTTAAGTCGACGCAAATCCACCCCCCACCACCCCACCACCACCACGACCCCCCCCACCAAGCCAAGTCTTCACCATGATCCTCAGAGTGACGTCGACTTCGTCGTTACGATGAATCCTTTGGGATTTGGGCGCCAGACGCGGGAGCGAGGAGTTTTTTCTCCTTTGGCTGTGGTGAGGAGGAGCGGCCTGGTCTAGTTTTTTTTTCTGACCCGGTCGCCCCCGTCGTTCGTCGTCGTACCCCCTCCTTTTCTCTCCCCACCCTCTCACCCCCCCCCCCCCCCACACACACACACACATAACCTCCTCCTCGGGGGTTAATCCTCTCCTCCCGGTTGGCGTCGGGAGCAAAGTGTGTGGGAATGGAACGGCTCGGGCCCTAGGACTGGATTGAAGGTAAACCTAACCTGTCTTTGGGGATCGGGTTTGTCTCTTGTTTGCCCCGGGGAGGGGAGGGGAGGCGGCGGCGACCAGCATGTTATATGTGTGTGTGTGTGCGCGTGTGTTTGAAGCCGGCGTCTTGCCCACAGTTAGTTAGAGCGGCGGTCTGGGCTCTATTATTGTTTTAGGTGGAGTCAGGTCGCAGCCCAATAGTTTCTCTTTACTCCCCTCCTCTCTCTCTCTCTCCCCCCCTCTCTGTTTTCTCCCCCTCTGTGTGCTTCTCTTCTTCCCCCTCTCTGACACTTTTCTCCCCCCTCCCCCTCTCTCTCTTTTCTCCCCCCTCCCCCTCTCTCTCTTTTCTCCCCCCTCTCTCTCTTTTCTCCCCCCTCCCCCTCTCTCTCTTCTCCCCCCTCTCTCTCTTTTCTCCCCCCTCTCTCTCTTTCTCCCCCCCTCTCTCTCTTTTCTCCCCCCCCTCTCTCTCTTTTCTCCCCCCTCTCTCTCTTTTCTCCCCCCTCTCTTTTCTCCCCTCTCTCTTTTCTCCCCCCTCTCTCTCTTTTCTCCCCCCTCTCTCTCTTTTCTCCCCCCTCTCTCTCTTTTCTCCCCCCTCTCTCTCTTTTCTCCCCCCTCTCTCTCTTTTCTCCCTCTCTCTCTTTTCTCACATTCCCTCTCTCTCTTTTCTCACATTCCCCCTCTCTCTCTTTTCTCACATTCCCTCTCTCTCTTTTCTCCCCCCTCTCTCTCTTTCCCCCCTCTCTCTTTTCTCCCCCCTCTCTCTTTTCTCCCCCCCTCTCTCTCTTTTCTCCCCCCTCTCTCTCTTTCCCCCTCTCTCTCTTTCTCCCCCTCTCTCTCTCTTTCCCCCTCTCTCTCTCTTTCCCCCCCTCTCTCTCTTTCCCCCCCTCTCTCTCCCCCCCCTCCCCCCCCCCCTCTCTCTTTTCTCCCCCCTCTCTCTCTTTTCTCCCCCCCTCTCTCTTTTCTCCCCCTCTCTCTCTTTTCTCCCCCCTCTCTCTCTTTTCTCACATTCCCCCTCTCTCTCTTTTCTCCCTTTCCCTCTCTCTCTTTTCTCCCCCCTCTCTCTTTTCTCCCCCCTCTCTCTCTTTCTCCCCCCTCCCCCTCTTCTCTTTTCGCCCCCTCTCGATCTCTCCCCTATTGCCTCTTTTCTCTCTCTCTCTCCCCCCCCCCCCCCCCTCACTCTGTCTCTCTCTTTTCTCTCCCCAACCGCATCTTTTCTCTCCCCGGGTTTGGTGGATATTTTCGAAATGATTTATTAAAACGATTATTAAACTTTCTATCGTATTGATATTGTGTAGTTGTCTTCGACGTGTTGTCGGGCTAGATGGGTGGTGGTGGGGGGGTGGGGGGGGAGAGGGAGGCTCGTTTTTTCTTTCCCTTCTCTCGACCAGCCCGTTGACTTCATGATGCTTTTACGTTTAAAATGTTCTTTTTAAAAACTGTTGGGAGTCGTAACATTTTTTTTCGTAGACCAGACGTCACGTCGGCCGAACCCTTTTGTTCGGACCGATGTGGGGCGAGCGAGCACCCGGGACTTGTTGTCCTTCCTGACAGACGGCTTCCTTAAAAGCAATGGGAGCCCCTGACAACGAAAACTACAAATCCCTTAAAAAGTCTGTCCGTGGTCAGGATTGTGGGTATTAATAGGATTAGCTGTGCCTTTTCTTGGAAAAGAAACGGAAGAATGTATCACTGGGAATTTTTTTCCTCTTCATGGGATTTTTTTTAAAAAGGTCTGAACAGTCCACACCCGGCGGTTAGTTATTGAGGTACCCCCTCACTGTCGTTCGAGGTTTGTGTTTTAATGTTATTTTTAAGACGTTTTTATATCTCGTTCTCGGGATGGACTCCGTATATTTCTTTCGAGAATATGCGATCGGTTCATCAAGTGAAGTGAACCACAGATCTGGGGCCCATTTGCTTGAGTTGTGGCAGGGATGGACACAGTCTATATACATGGGTCTTGTGAAAGTTGTGTGTTTCATATGGCCTGATTATGCGGGCGTCAACAAACGCAGTTGTAGCCGAACTTTTAACTACCACTGTTGCTAACTTTTTTTTTTACAGTTTTAAAATTATTTTTGTACATCCCGAGGAAGCTATTTATCTTAAATATCTGAAGTAAAAGATTTCTTAATCTCCCAAGTGTGTATCGTTTAAGACATACTAAGCTTTCTTAGCTGTACATCAAGTAATTCATGCATTGACTAAATATTTTAGAGAGTTTGACTGTTGGTAATCGTTGATGTTAAATGTGTTTTGTTCTAAATTACTATTTTGATTACATACTGAAATGTACTGTGGCATTGGTGGGCCCAATGTCTGCTGCTATAGGGATCTCGATTGAATTTAGCCAAAGCCTATAGAGCACAAAGAACTGGTAAATATGGGATAGAGAGACACAGTGTGGTTTGTTCACTTTACTTGTGGTAAATTCTGTGAAACGCTTTGAGAAATTTCGACAAAGTGAAAAGGCATATATCATATGCAAATATTGTCATTAGTTTTATATTACCACTATATTGTTTTGATTCCTTTACAGTAAATATAATACCCTAGTAAACGTGTTAAGTCTTGCCATAACATTTTCAAAAGTTCATTTTAGGAATATTGCAGATAGTGTTCTATATGGATGGAGTATCAGTACATTTGCTTATGCCTGTGTTCTCATATTTTATAGTATAAAGTTAAGGTCAAAGGCCTAGTGACAGCAGACATTTTGTGCAGAAATATCTCTTTAATAGTAATAATAGTTTAATAGTAATAATTAAACCTCCGTGCGCATTCCCAATTGGTGAATGCGACTTGATGTTGGCAATCTAGTACAAAATGTCTTTTCCCAGACACTCTATACATTTTTGGAAAGAATTATGAATGGATTCTGTGGTAACACATCAGTATAACATAGCTACTCCTTTAAGAACTAGAATAGACAAATTGAAATAGTGTTCCTAGTTGGCCAGACCAGAATTGGTCTCAAGACATGCAACATTTATTCAAGGTCTCATCTGCATCAGTGCAACAGATTAATGCAATCGTATCAATCTTTGAAATGACCAAAAGAGAGTGCCGATTACTAGCTTATTTTTGCTGAAAAATAATTGCGGCACTGATTGAAGCATTGCTTTGGCAGTGATGCTTGTGTAGAGTACCTGATTCAATCTTTTTCCACGACTGTTTTCCCCCTCACACTTTGAAGGTCGTTCCTATGAAAGTAGTCTTATTCTGAGTTCTTAGCCATTCTTTATGTATTAACGTTAGGTGGCTATTCATATATATAGTCAATTCACTTTACAGTATATTCTGTGAAGCACTTTGAGACGTCTCGACGATGTGCTATATCAAATGCAAGGATTCTTTCTTCTTTCTTACTCAATGACTGGGGAGTGGGTCTCCAATTGAGCTTTATGCTGTCCCGTGGGCTAACAAGTCCCCACATATAGATGGTATATATTTTAAGGTGTTGAAAGAGAACCGGAGACAATTTATGTGGTCAGTAGTGTATCTGTAATGTTACTGGACTAGCAATCCAAACGTCATGGGTTAAAATCTCGCAATGGCAGTTGTGTAATTAGAATTTTAAAAATTGATAATTGGACGAGATCAAAAAAATTCTATAAAGCTGCCAATTGTTGTAAAAGTCTAACTTGTTCACTAATAATAATCCTTGAATTTGATATAGCTCCTTATCATGTCTTCGAGACGCCTCAAAGCGCCGACAGAATATACTGTTCTGCAGTTGTAAGCAACCACTATATATCAATGGCTTTAAAAAAAGGTCCGCTACCAACTTCTCAGGGTAACCAGAGATGGGCAATAAATGCTGGCTGGCCCTGCCAATGTCACCCAATTTCCGAGATGAGCTTAAAAAAATTGTGAGCCAGAGAAACATAGGAAAATCGGAATAGGGGGAGGCTATTCAGTTTGTTGGCCTGTTCTACCAGTTTTAGATCTTGACACATTGTTTAATCCAAATACCTGCCCTTTTGCCATACTGTTTAATGTCTCTAGTACCCAAGTCTCTCTTAAACATCCCTATCGATTCATTATTGATCTCTATTGAAACTATGTTTATCAGGGAAAGATCACTAAGCACTCGTGAGGTTTGCATAAAAGTAATAAATGGTATGGAGAAGGTAAATCTAAACGTAAGACGAGTAGGAGGATCAGAAGATAAAAATGGTGAGCAGATATCAGGGAAAATGTCTCCTCAAATGCATGTTTAGTTGCCATGGTACGAGAGTTAATGCACCATGGGAGTGAGCTTGTTGGGCAAGAGTGGCCTTTTTTAAATCTGAGTCATGAGCTCTCCCAATGTTGCATCATTAATATTTTCAAGTAGCACTGGGCAATATTCATAATCAGGAAACCTGGCTGATGATTGCCATCTGTGTATTTGATGTCAGTGAATAAATACGTTTCTACCAAACATTAACAGCAATATGATTTTGTTTTGAAAATCCTTGAGTATGATGGCATAGCTACTTAAACATTAGTCTGAGGTTTATTGTGTCTTATTTTATTGTTTTACAGTACTTCATAGTCTGGCTGATGGAGTATGTTAAAGTACAATACAAAATTACATTTGTAAAGCACCTTTCACATCTGGAGGGCGTTCCACTGTAGAGATAAGAGAAACCACCTCTATGACATCACAATATTAATCCATCTGTGAGTGGTTTGATTTTATATTTCGCTTACAAGTTAGATTCACCAATGATAATAATCCTTGCATTTGATATGGTAATATCTAACAATTTAGAAAGGATGGATTGTGAAATTTGTATTATACAAATTGTCACAATATAAATATTATGAAGGGGCTACTTATTATTTACAGATCTCTATCTTTGTAACTTTGTTCCTCTGCTTTCTGTGAGATAGTCAGCCTGGAAGTAGGTACTTTGTATTCTCCCAGGAAGTTCTGCTCCACAGTGACATGAATGAAGAATGATGCTAACAATTTGCCATTACCATTCATGATATCACACAAGAGAAAATATCCACAATGTTTGGTCTGAGCCAGCGTCAAACCAGTACAATAGTACTCAAATAATTAAGAAACATTGAATATATATCTTTCTCCCTTTGTTGCATCAAGGATTATGGGACAATTCAGGATATTTTAATCCATTCAGCAATATATTACATTTCAAATACTGTGTACTGTTTGTGCTTGTGACCAACTATGCTCTTCAAGATTTTTTTAAAAATAATAATCCTTGGATTTGATATAGGGCTTTATCATGTCTTCGAGGCGTCTCAAAGAGCTTCACAGGACACACTGTAAACTGTAGCAACTGTATATTTTGTGGGTGAAACTGCGCCAAGCAGTGACCACAAACGGTGACCAAATTATTATTATTTTTATTGGAAGGGATTATTATCTCCGGAAAGGGGATCCGCCAATCAACTAACAAGTGGGTTAGTTTACCTACTTACCTCAGTTTACCTACTTGCTGCTAGGTAAACAGAGACATGTGTGTGGAGTGAGGAAACTGCTCAATGTTTGTCTCTTTTTTTAAAAAGGGGATGTAGAAAGGTGAGTTTTTTTTTATTATAGAAAGAAAATCATAGCAGGCTTGTACTAATAAGGTTCCAATGACTAAATAAAGTGCCCAGACATCAATCCAGTGTCAACTTCGCCACTATTCTAAATAAATCCTGTCATACCTTGTTGGAGGTAACTGAGCAGAGAGCAATGCTAGGAAGATACTGCTAACTTGAATAAACAGCAGAAGAAACTGGTGATGACACAAATGTGTGAATCAAACAAGATAAGTGGTGATTACCTTTCAGACAGGAATTTCGTAGAATATAATTTAAAAGCATCTTACGTGCATAGCTATAAAGTTGCTGGTTTTGTAAACAAAACAGCGGTTCTGTCTAGTTCCTTCTAGGAAGCTGAATAAGGAAGACATTGGAAATACATTGTTAGGTGGGTTTATAATTCATTATTTTCTTTGAATTGTAAAACAAGAACAAAGTTTCTAAAATGTGCAAGTCAAAGCACATAGAGCACACATTAATTGTTTGCTTTGTTTCTATCACCACTGTACTTTCAACTTGAGTTTGTTGAAGTGCATTGATAGTGTAATGCAAATTTAGAAAAACTAGATTTTATGTTTCCGCAAGAATTAAACTTATAATACAATTGTCAAAGTGATGGTTTGATACTTGTGGCCTACAAGTGGTTTGATACTTAGAGGTCCCTTTCCTTGCCTCCTTCAAGATCCGTTTCAAAACCCTCCTCTTCATCCGTGCCTTCGATCTCCCTCCCCGATCTCGACCCCCAGCTCAGGTCTGAAACACTGATTGTGCAGCGTCTTGGGATGTCCCCTTGACGTGAAAGGTGCTATACAAATGTAATGTTGTTGTTGACGATATCTTGCTAACATTTATTATTGATGTAAAAATGTATCTGTATGACGTTTTAAAGACTGAAATAACACTTAGGTGCACAAAAATATTTTTTAAAGTAGATGTAAAAGTATGTCATCTTTTCACTTCTGCTAGTTATTTATAGTTAGTAAGAAGTGACATTTTGATGTATAAGTGTGATGGTAACAGAATATATTGTAAATGTGTGTTGAATGAATAGATCATATTTGTTATTTTATTATGGCATTTGGAGAGTTATGTTTTATCTTTGATTGGATTACAGTTTATATTTCATAAGTTTGTATTGTGAAAACAAATTTCTGCATTCACGTGCTGTCAACTTCAATTCTGTTAATGACAAACATACATTTAGCATCAGGCTTATGTTAAGCAGAAATAGCATGCCTGTTAGTTTCTTGCCAGATAATTTGAATCTGTTTCAGTACAATACCACTTTATAAACTAGCTAGTAAAACTTTATTTGGCCTAAAAAATGAATTTCTTAGCTTGAGTCAGCGCACTTGTGAAGCAAACATTGTAGAAAGGCAGAGTTTACATTTCATCAAATTATTTTATTAGTGCATTGAATATCTTTCACTAGAGGGGAGTAAAGTTGATGGCTTTAGTACCTAAGCACTTGATGTGTTGTATTTTTTCCGTTGTAAAAATTTCCAGTGGGCAAAGCAAGCTTGTCATAACGATCCTCCTGTTTGAAAAATTGATTGCTTGAAAATTTGACCATTTCAGATGTAATTTCTAAGAGTTCTTATTAAATCATGAATCCATTCATGCCTTCTTCCCCAACTGCAATTAAAAATTAAATATTCTGGATTTGTTTAAAATAACACATTAAATTACTCTATCTGAGGTGATGTATTTTGTTGGAATTCTCTTGTTGAATCATGAGATACAAAGAAAATAGAGGAGAGCCGGTCCTAGATGGAGGCTAGTGATATTGGACAAATCAAACTTTAGTGGAAGAATCGTTCCCAACATGAATCAGCAGCACCTTAAGGAAGTAGAGATGGTGGGTGAAAGGTGGTGAGACTAAATTCTCTAATAGAGAGAAGTCATGAAAAGTGAAAGATGCTAAAATGGAACACCGAGTCAGAGTTTCAAAGCGGTGTGATACATTAGTGGGTAAGATGAAAGTTTCTCCCATGGGGTATGCCAGATTTCCTTACATTGGGATATGCTGAGCAAACATTATCAAACAACGTCAGCGGAGGTGTGGAAGCACTTTCCTACTCCTGGATACCTACTCTCTGTTGCTGCCTGTTGATCCATACTCAAATTACATGTTGTTGACAGATTTGACTATATTCGGGGGAGGGGGGTTGGAGGCGATCTTAGCTTGATGAGTAGTGGAAATCTTGCCAGATAGTGTTTTCAGTGGCAATTTTTGCAATTTTAGCTGATTAAATTCCAGTAGCATCCCAATGCACACTCGAGGGTTCCTAATATTCTCTGTGCCTAATACTCTCTGGAAATGGGTAAGCAGGGTATATGCCTTTAAGGAGAAATTGCACATTCAAATTCCAAACATTAGAATTTCCACATATAGATGGCATACGTGGAACCTTCCGTCTAGTTTGGGTACTCTTAAGCCCAGTGACACGTTTGTGCAAGTGTGAAGACGCGAAAAAAGTTTGGGCTGTTCAGTGAAAATTCTTGTGGTTGGATTGTTTGCTGATAGTGATTCTTACATCTGACTTGTGAGAACTGTGTGAGGAATTGAGAATTTGGATGAATACACTCATATCTCGACATTATTGCCACAGAGTCATTAGTGAGTGCGGAGGAGAAATTTAAAGGAATTTGACTGTATATCTGTTCATACGCCATGTTCAGTTTGAGTTTGATCGAAGTGGTCAGGGTTCGTACTTGAAGTATTATAGCACACTGTATATAACAGTATACTTGTATTAAGGCAAAATGTGATCAGTTTCCAGAAAAGATAATCCAAAAATTGCAATTGATGGCTTTATCATTCCCAGTAAAGTGGCTTCTGTTACACTGGCAGAGTATGTTGGTAGCTTCCTAATAAAATTCAGGTTACATTACTGTTTTTTTAAATTCACATCAGTGGTATTTTGAAACCAGCACCTCACCTGCTACTTCCTATCATACAGGATTTGCATACAACCTGAGGCTTTTGCTTGTGATATCTGATCAAGGGGAATGTTGCAGGTTTTCATTTTTGGTTGCACCGTTTAATTTTTGTCCAGTGTCTTTGCAGTCCAGCTACAATTCGGTATTGTTTCTCTGAAGGCTTTGTAGGAGTAACTTGAACCTTCTGTGTGGTGCATCATTGGCAAGTTTATTCTTTACATCTGCTTCCTTCATAGTCTACAATTGAGCTAAAAGTTTTACAGTCTTTGAATACTGTATGATTAATGAATTGAATGTGAAAGTTTCACTTTAGTGAAGGCTTAAAATTGGACTTGCGTGTTCAATTTGTATCTAGTAACCTAATGCTTGATTTCAGTTAAACGTGGATGATTATTAAAGAAATGTACATACCCATATAATGATACTCTTTACATTTCGTATAGCACCTTTCATTTCGGGAGGATGTCCCAAAGAGGATATACTGTAAAGAACACCGACTGTTGTTGGTGAATGTACAGGCTAACTAAGATCAGTCCCAAAGCTTCACAGTATATTTATGATTGGAATGTTGGTGAGTTCGCGGCTGTTGTAGGATGATTGTAGGTTATCTCCAGTGTGCAGACTTTTTTAAAAAAAGTTAAACTGTTCTGGGTGGAAAATAGTACTGCCTACGAAAGAAGCGCACTTTTCGTGAAATATATGCATTCTAATTGGTTGCAAATGCTGTCTACCTTGCATCATTGAGGGAGTGGCACAGTCTGCTAGTCTAGCAACTTCTTAAAAGAAACTTGATGGATTATACTTTTTTTATGAAAGTTCAGAATTATCTGTATGATCTCTCTATTTTACTTATCACTAATCATACAAACATTACTGCCATGATGAAGTGGATTATTGCTTTAAATTATGATATGTGTTCATTGCTTTACGAAGAGTAGTATTAGAACTAAACCTGCGGAGAAACGTATGATAATTTTTTTTAACCAAATGACTTAAATGTAAGGGGAATAGAACCTGTTTAAAATGCTCACTATTAATTTGCTAATTGTAATCCAAATATAAAAATAGTCTTTGGATGATATTTTAGAGCTTTCTGCAGTACAATATGTTGTGCAAAACAGAGTTAATACACAAATGTGCCTATAGAAGTTGTTTACATTTTGTGTTTTGTGTGTTTATGGTCTTATTAGTTTAGATTTAGTTGTAGATACTGAAAGAGAGTACCTGAATGGAGTGCATGTAGACAATTTCCCCCACTGAGGTGTTTTTCTTTCTTTAAAGACTACAGAGCAAATTGAATTTGCTGATTGGCTGGAGAGGAGGGAACACATGTGGCGTGAAATGTCTTTCTCAGATGAGTGAAGCCTTTTCTGTAGCTTCACACAGTTCTCCATGGCTTCACAGACTGGGTAAGTAGCTGTTGCTTTGAATTTATACAATTTTATACATTTAATCTGCTTTAATTTTAGCACACAATAGTTTTGAATACAGAAACCATCTAAATGTACTTTTATATTTCAATTGTTAATTGGAAGGCACTTGTTTTCATTTAAACACCTCACAATTTCAAACTTTAAAATGCAGTTTTAGAAACTCAGAAATTGAATAGTTTATTTCTTCATTTGTTTTAAATTGCATCAAATATCCCATTCAGGTTGTTAATTGAGCCAGACTGGGTGTGGTAAATACTTGTTGTACATGGTTGTAGTCCGCAGACCTGTGATCTAGAAATCCTACCTAATGACAGATCCGTTGAAGGTCGATCATTAGGAGCGACGCTCATTAGGAAAACAGGAACATGAGGCAGACATTCAGTCCATCAAGCCTGTTTCGCCAGGTCTTAGCAGAAACTTTTAATGAAATGCAGCCCCCCCACCCCGCATTCACCATACTCTTTAATATTTCTAATACACACTTATATATGTTCAAAAATGCGACAAATTTAGATGTGCTTATTTAAATGGTTTTGAGAACTGATTTCATTGCAATTATAAAGCTCCTAGCATTTCCTCTGTTGACAACCATGCACAATATAAATATACAATCACTAGACTTAACATATATTCTGTGAAGCGCTTTGAGATGTCTTGAAGATGTGATAAGGCGCTATATCAAATGCAAAAAATATTATTATGATCTCTTTAAACACTGAAATTAATAGCCATGTCGCCGTACAAACCATAGCTGTGGTATGGTATTTTTATACAACTGGTGAGGCCAACAGACATAACCAGTTTGTACAATAATTGTACAAGAGATAGCAAGAATGTTGTATATTAATGCATTACTCTGCAACCAAGAACATTTTGATTTATGATGATTTATGATTAAAATGTTGAATATGACTAGTTTGGGGTAGAATTCTTTGGCTTTGAATATGTGGTTTGTGAATCTTCAGTCCACTTTCATCTTGTATCCATTGATGTAAACACTCAGTATATATTCTCAATGCACCATAGGAGTTCATTGGTGGAGGGGGGATTTGCGTCCTACTTGGATGGTGGTGCTTATTATAATTGGTGAGAGAAAACTAGTCAATCTAAGTAGAGATGCATTTTAAAATAAAATGCCTTTTTTTAGATTCTTGAATTTTTGGTGGTGCCTTGTTTTAGCAAGTTGATTCCTGGTTAAATAGTAATATAAAAATGGTTTAACCCAGTGATGTTCAGTTCATATGGAGATGGTGAAAAAGACTCCAACATTTCTTAAGTCACATTGTGTATATATATATATATAATTGTTTATCTCTGTGTATTATAGGCAGTTTCAGTTTGTTTTACATACAGTATATGGATGGTGCTATTTTTTGTAGTTCTATCAGTTGTATCAGTTCTATCTATCGTGAGTCCTGTAGCTTAGTGATTAGAGCAATTAGAGCATTAGAGCACTCGAGAAACTTGGGTTTGATTACTGGCAGGGTGAAACGTTGGGCAAGTTTCCTTATTCCACGCGCCTCTGTTTACCTAGCAGTAAGTAGGAACCCGGTTGTCAGTCGACTGGCAGATCGCTTTCCTGGTGATGGTAATTCCTTCAGGAAAAAAAAGTCCTGGAAACTCTGATCATTAAACTATATCGTATATACCTGCCCTACGACTTAACCAGCCATCTGATTCAAGTGTAGCAAGGCAACTTTTTCTTGAGCAAGTATTGTGTGCTTTTGAACAGCAAGTTTGAATACAAAGTTACTATTGAGCATGAGTATATGATGAGTATATAGTGGAAACTAAGTTACAAAAAAACAATTGTATAATAAAATATTGAACCTCTTGAAATGTTTACATCGAATCTTCAGCATGTTTACCACACAAAAAAGCCACACTTACATCCTGAGTTAATGTTGCATCCCATAGCTGTACCTTAATATCCTTTCACTGTAAAACAGTCTGCACTTTCTGGAATGTGAATGTCAAAACCGAGTTTAGTTCTTCAGAAGTAAGGAAAGAGTTGAGAGGAAAAGACTCAAGCTGTGAGTGTCTGAATTTTGTCTTTACAGCAAAAAAAATTCCTGTCTGTCTGTAATCGTTCGCAAAGTTACCCTAATTTGGGTACCAACAGCAACGTTCACACACCACCAGCATATTGGGAGTGTTAGGGTAGTGGAGTACTTGTGGTTCAGTTCATCAAAATTGAGCTATTTCCCGAGAAAGAACAACTTGCATTTATAGTGTCCCGGAGCGCTTCACAGTGGCAGAGTCTGACAACAAAAAATGAAAAACAGATTTTTTTTCATTTTAAAAAATGGTTTATGCACTATTCTGATTACTGTTCTTTAACTGTTTATGTGCCTCATGCTGGAGCTTATTTTGTTTCAAATTAAGCCTGGGGAGCCCTCAGGCCCTCCATTAGAACTCTACCTTTGCATTTTTGGAAATGCTTTAAAGAGAAGCACTGTATCAATAGTGTAAATGTTGAGATTTTGAACAATGATTGCTTCTTAAGCAGAGGTTTGAACCCTTCAAATAATATACTAATATGTACTAACTACATCATGGGTGCTGTCACTTTACTGCACCTACAGTACTTGGGATGAATTGGAATCTTGTTGTGAAATAGTAGCGTTAGGAAAAAGTTGTGATTGTGGAAGTAATTGCTGTAAATTTGGAAGCAATATAGCATTTAGAATCTTAACAAATTGGATTTAAAGCCGGTGAGAAATTGATTATTTCAGCTGTTGCAAATCAAGCTTTAAACTGTACATGTTGGTGTAATTGGAAATTCAATTGTTTAGTTCTGGGTGTGCAAGAGTCCATGGAATTTTGTGTGTCCTGGGCTGAATAAGTCTTTGTTTCAATGCACTATTGTTTGAAAAATAGATTTATTACAGTCATGCTATGACCTGAGGAATTGCTTGATGAGTGGGGGGGAGGTAGAGCGTGCGCAAAAAATACTAAAAACATGTTGAAACCTCCACCCTAGCAAGTAGCATGGAAAGTCTAGATAGAAGAAGAAAACAATGATTTCGTGGGCAAACAATGAATGTTTAATTGTTGTGCAGTAATATATTGATATAACACTTTCAGTCAGCTCTTTTTTAAAAAAATATTGTTTTTAATTATGAAAGTTAGTTTCAGTGCTATTTGTACTTGAACTACACGTCTGCTGTTTGTCCCTGGTTTGTTGCTGCCATTGGTAGGCAACCAGGTGGGAAAGATCAGAGCAGAACATAGAATTTTGGCATACATTACCCTTGCACAGCTATCACTAGCTGAGATCAGGTAAATAACACAGTATCTAGAACTTTCCTGGACGGTTAGGGTTTGGATGAGTTGTTACCGCACAATTGAGCAGGGCAGGGAATGACTTTTACAGTTTTGAGGAGGTTTAAAATGCTTGGCTCTCTAACCTCAGGAAGGAAATGTACAGATGGTTTCAAATATTTGTCTAGCAATACTTATTGAATCATAACATTTTTGATTTGTAAAAATCTGAAAAGACATTACCTCCGAACTCTGAAGTCTGCACCAAGCTTACCCCAATGTCATTGTGTAAGAATCTTTGAGCCATGTGCCTTACAACCTCCTGGATATCCAATTAAGTGAAGAACATTTTCTGACAAAGCAATGTGTTCATGAATGAAGAAATTAGTGGGGTTTATTTTGGCTGCAGTCGCTGATTAGGGTGGAATTACAAAAGTGAGTAGTTGCAAAGTCATGGTCGAACAGTCTGATTGACTTGTGAATTATGCAAGTCTTGCATAATTGCTTGGTTCTGGACAAATTGATTAACACAGAATTTGCTGTATCATCTTTAGCAGTTACAGGTGTACTGGTGTTTATAGTACACTTATCAACAATGAGTGCTGCTAATATGCCCATGCTATCCCAGAAAATCATTTTGAAAATAATATGTGTTTGTATTGATTTATTTTAGTTTAAAGTTAAAGAAGTGTCTGGAGTACATAATTCAGTAAACCCTGTATTACAAGAGAAGTACGTGTTTCACTGACGACCACTTATTTCTGTGCAACGATTGGTGATCTTTTGCCTTGTCTGGACCATTTGTATTTCATTGTCAAAGGGACAGTTCAATTTGTACCATATACATTTAATGCTTTCCTACATTTACAAAGAATTTGCAGAACCTAAGTTGTTTATTACCTCTGTCAATCTGCTGGTTTGGGTAATGCTAAGTTAGAAATGTTACCTACAATTCGAAAGACTTGTTTTGTTTAGCTGCAAGATCTGTTTGTGTATTCATTTATGAGAGGTTCGATCAGTTGCATTTTTTTCCCCAAATACAAAAGTGTTGCCAGTATACTTTTGTGTTTTTCAAGCATAGTTTTGTATTTTTTGTGTTTGTTTCTCTATTAATTTAAATCCTTTTTAAATCTTGATTACTGCTTACTTTGGGGGAAAATGTCTTGAAAGAGTTGTTTTGCCCAGTAACGTGATACCTGTAATTTATGGATAGCAATTCATCTGTATGTTAACATTTGTTGATCCAGGGTGCTTCAGTACTCTTATTTTGTCTGTGTAGGTTAATTCAATTTCCTTCCACTGTCTGGCTCAATGTCGCCAATTAGCTATTTTTCATTGTCGGAACTTCATCTTTAGAGACAGAAAGGAAGTTCAGGTTAATTATAATTGGGTACTGATTGTGATGCTGTGTCTCATTTAAAGGGTACTTGCTAGATGCGACACCCGGGAGGCATGGAGATCTCGGGGATCTCCTTACCCAGACAAGGAATGCAGGTTCTAAAAGATACTTTCAAACCTATGCCACCAACATTTCTCTGAAAAGACAGATGGCTGTCTTTTGCTTTTCAGCAACATGAACCGTGAAGATAGAAATGCACTGCGAATGAAAGAACGAGAACGGAGAAATCAAGGAATTCAGCAGAATGAAGAAACTTTCCCTGGAAATTCCCCCCTCTTTGCTGAGCCATATAAAGTACAGGTACAGTAATTATGGGTGAGAAAACCTAAAATTATCTTTGAAAATGTAACCTTTCAATGTCTGGAAATTTGGCATCCTGTCCACATCCATTGTTGTAAATTGGAAGCAGTTCCAACAAATACAGAAGCAAATCTGATACTGAATTCATCTTTAGCTAGGCCTATCTTGAGTTTGTTTTACTTATGAATCTTGACAATGATGATGGTTTCTATTTGGACATCACAGAATTTGAATATTGCTGTTTGGAAGCAAAATGGTTTCTTGGGTCCAAAAAAAAATTCCAATGGAGTTGATTTCTGGGTGACTTCAGTGGGTTAATCAGTGCCACTGATTAAGTGAATGTTTATGCGATAACATGATTGGGCTCAACTGAGCTGTCAATTATCCTGCCACCACCTGCTGTCTGGGCTCTTGGGTATTGAATAGCTCCTTGGGTAAGATGCTGGAGACCTGCCATCGTCTGGGATTTGTATCCTCATCTGAGTCACTACCTTCAGGAAAGGGGGCACAGAAGAGAGAAAAGCAATATTAAACTGAGAACCAGATTTGTATTCTATCCTTATGTTCTTGTTGGTTTTGGTAACAAGTATTGAATTCATTGTTATATTGCCTTCAGATTATCTGATAGTCTGCAAGAGTATTCTTGATGCCTGAATTAAGAAAAATGTGGATTGAATTCACAGTTTTAGGTTGAAGACTTGTACAATACAAAGCAAAATTACATTTGTATAGCGCCTTTCACGTCGGGTGGATGTCCCAAGGCATTTGTATGCCCAAATAAATGAATATTAAGTTTTTTCAATCAACTATCTTTCTCACAATTCTTTCCTAATTGTTCGGCAAAGAGTCAAAATTTCCAAAAATGTTAGGAAAGCCTTAAACCTTTCAGAGATTATATTGCACAATCACTGTTCGAGAATAGCATCTGATTTTTTTTGTAACTTTCTCATTCAGTTATGTCAAGTAACATTTAATTTCAAATAAAAGTAATTCTAAAGGAGTGTTCTATTATCGCTATCACATCTGACGTAAAGTCATGTCATGCAGATTTTGCTGATGTGCCAGTTTACATTGACGCCTGTAGATAATGATGTCACATTCTTTATTGTTATATACAGGATGTCATAATAAGCAGTGCATATTGCTGCGTAAAACCTGATTGTTGTTCCAGGTTGCTGAGGCATTGACCTACTTCCTTATTGTTTTAAAAGTTCTGCCGATGACAGGTTAAATACTTTATGTAAGCGGAAGCCAGATCAAGGCTTCCACTTTTTTCAAATATAAAGCATCAACTGTTTTAAAGATCTGATTATATTTAAAGTCTTTAGTCAGTCAGGATAATCTCAGGCTTTGTTTAAACGGCCCCTGAACAACAAATCACATTTCTATAGTGCCTTTGACATCGGAAGGATGTCCCAAGCCACTGAACAGTTAAGGATTTGACCTGAGCTGGGGTTGGAATCAAGGCAAACTTCTTGGACTGAACAGTAGTGTGTTTAAGGCGCGTCCTTAAGTTTTGAGATACTGTTGTGATTCAAAATGGTTTGTCAACCAAAGAATCTTAAGTTGTCGGTCTATTGTCCTTGTGTACCCCACCAAGTATAAATCCCAATATCTGATTGTACTGCAATGAAGATGAAAATTAAGTTTTAAAAGATACCAGAAATGGGTCATCTTCATGCTTTTCAATTGAAGCATCCTCCACATACCAAGCTCCTGTCCCAGGGTATCTTTCTAATGTTAGGTAATTGTGATTATTGTTGCATTTTCGTTCCTTGGAGTGGAGGAACTGATCCTGATATCATTGTGTCACTGATCTCAAATATCTTAAAGAGATGGTCTTCCTTCTAATTTTGTTCCATTGACAACCAAGATGTGCGCCTTTGACATGGGAAGGTTGTTCCATTTGAAGAAAGAAGACCCTTAAAAATGTTTAAATTTTTGTGATTGAAGTCAGTGTGGCCATTGAGTCTGACAATTTGTTGTTTGGTGAGTGTGAAAACAGATAGATAGCCAAAGACAACTGTCTGTAGATGCCACTTGCCAAGTAGCTCAGTAATTGTATGCCAATCTCAAAAGTCATGGCTGGTTCAGTAGATTGTATTGAAAATTTGTTTTGTGTTGTAGTCTTGAATTTAATAACCTTGCATACACTGTTTATATGAGTGTTGTACATCACCATATACATGATCTATGTTATATTTGAATATGTTTCTCTTGGTTCTGTAGAATTGTCACTTTGGTAACTGAAACAAAAATCATTGTTTAGAAATTAAACTGACAATGTTTTATAAACTGTCCTTTGCAGAAATTATTCTGGCTCAATGTACCAATTCTCTTGTGATGTATTACTCACTAGGTTTAGTATTGTATGCCTATTTTCAGTTAATGGAATCTTATTGCAGTAAAGAAATGACAGCACCATGATAAAACTATTCAACCTTCCGGTTTCACTGTATAGCTCTTGGGACATGGGCCTTTGCCACGATACTCTACACAGTGAGTTCCCTTTTAGGGAGATGTGGGGAGGGGGAAAAGACTTGAATGTTAATGTTGTGCAACTTTCCAATGGGACCGTTATACACTAATTGACTGTAATATTCATTACAAGTCAACTATATTTTGAAATATTTAACTTCTAAATTAAGTCCTTTCTCATTTTGTTTTGAAAAACAGGGCAGATCAGAAGATAAACTTTCCAGTCGAATCCAGAGCATGTTGGGAAATTACGATGAAATGAAAGACTTGATAGGAGATAGAAAACTCATAGGCATACCCAAAGGCACTGTTCCATCAACTCCAGATGAGAAACCCGACCCGGCTTTCTTTGGTGATCAGAGACACAGTACATCTCACCAAAGTAGCAAGTGGACCCCAGTGGGTCCAGCAGCTTCTGCCCCTAGTACTTCATCACAGACACAAAAGAGGTCAAGTTCCAGTTTACAAAGCAGCCATGGCAGCAGCCAAAGACTTGGTGGTGGCAGCAGCAGTAGCCAGAGGCATGAACGTGATTCACACATTAGCAGTCGTAAGAGAAGTAACCAACATGGATCTGAACATTCAAAATCACACTCAGTCAGCCCAGCTAAACCACCAACCGTTTCCATAAGCTCCAGTAATTCGAGGTCTCAAGGAAGCGACCACCATAGCAAAGAGCGCCATCGGTCAAAATCACCTCGAGATCTTGATGCTACCCGGGACTCTCCATCTCGTGTTCACACGTTCCCTGCTAGTGGACAACACACTTCTCAGGCTTTCACTCCTGCATTGATGTCCAAACCCAGCTCGATGCTGCAGAAGCCTACAGCCTATGTGAGACCTATGGACGGACAGGATCAGGCCCCCAATGAATCATTGGAACCAAAAATTCCTTCCGAGCATTATGGTAGCCAGTCTCATGGAAGCAGCCTGTCAGAGATGAAGTCAGGCAACAAAGTGCATCTCTCAAAACTCAAAATCCCATCCCAGACTGTGGAGGTAAACAAATGGTTCATTCTTTTTATTTATAACTTTTATAACTTAATTTTATTTATAACAAAATTAAAATTTTGTGTGTGTAGTCAAGTTCAAGGAATTTATTGCTTTAAAAGGGTATAAAGATATGCTTTGATGAATTCAGCTTTACTGGGAAAAATGGCTGACAAAATAGAAATGATTGACAATATCACCTTCTCACTCACAAACAATTTAAAAATCTCAAACAAGAAGTGTAAAGAGAAATTAAGCACAGCTAGTTATTTCAAATCTAAGGAATAAAATTGTTAGCTCTGCTATATTTGGCTACTTAGCACACGTTTACAAAATTAAGACAAATGTTGTTATGACCCTGTAGAGATCAGAAACGTATTGGGAATTAGAACTGATGTAATGAAAAGCTGGAAGCTGGTTTCTATTTTTTAGAACGGTCTTTGTCTGCCCCCTACCCCATGTGTCTTTAAAAAAGAAGCACAGTTGTTTCATCTATTCTAATTTAATTGGATGACAGAATTCTAAAAGCTTGTCTCTCAACTCTTCAGTATATTTCTATAATTACCCTTTTGTTTGACATAGTACCTTATCACATTGTCAAACCATCTCAATCACATCACATAATTTTCTGTAGAGTTCACTGACTAGAAGTCAGCACTTTTGACAATGCAGCATTCCTCCAGCACTGCATTGAAGTATCAGCCTGGACCCAGAGCTCAAATGCCTAACTTTCTCCCATTTCAGATAGTTCACAAGACCATTGGAGGTGAGATAGTGAGGTACACTGCATGGAACTACATAAGTGTACAGGGCACCAGTAATTGATGTTGCTGCAGTTTGGCCACTCGAGCAATCTACTAGTTAGAATGAATCAAGCCTAATTGTGCTACGGTTTGTTATTGCAGATTGTTTTATTGAAAGGCCACAAGATCCAAACCAAAATACAGATTAACTTGTTTTCTTTTTGAAATTTACAGTCATCTGTTTCTGGTGATGCGAGCTGTGTGGATGAGATTCTAAAGGTACGTCCCGTGTGCACACACGTGTATTGGTATTTGTATGTTAGTAATCCAATAGTAGTGTTGTCTTTTGCCCTGTTTTTTCCATTTATCTTAAATTTGGAATTTTTAAATCTATGAACATGTATATTCTAGGAAATGACACACTCTTGGCCACCGCCTTTGACAGCAATTCACACACCATGCAAGGCTGAGCCATCAAAGTTTCCATTTCCAACTAAGGTGGGTATCTATTTCAGCCTCTAGACTAGAGTACAAGGATAGATTGGTTTACAAATGTAACGTATCGTGGTAGGGGAAGAAGAGACCTGCACACCGTGGGAGGAGAGGATGCAGAGAGTTTTACAAAAGAAGGTTATCTTGATTACAGGTTTTTCTGAGGTAACCTTTGCATGCAACCTAGCGCACCTCTAAATATTGCCATAATGTTGCAAATGAATTCAATACTGATACAGTAGAATATGGCTTTGAACCAACCTTGAAGAATAAATCTACTTTTGGATTCAAAAAAGCGCCTTCAAACAGTTTTAATACTTCTGAGACGATTTATAATCTCAATAGTAATAATACCAAATAAATTTACAACAAATTGCATTTATATAGTGCCTTTCCGTCGGGAGAAACTGCCAAGTCCCTGGGCAGTCGAGGGTTTGTACCTGAGGTGGTTGGAAGTCAAGAGGTGTGGGGGTGAGGTTGGGAGGGTAACCTGAGCATGTAACAAAATGTGGTGTTTGCCTTGTATGCAGGGACCTATTTGTGTTTAAGATAATGCATCTATTTTACAGCAGATGTAGAAACTCCATGCCAGTTAGCTGAGGCGATACTTTCCAACTTTGGCAACGCTGAAAACCAAAGGCAACCAGCTTACTAATAACATTGGTTTTTATCCCTCCATCTCCAACCTTTCAATGTTTCTATCTTTGCTTTCTTGCTGCATCTGATCCTTTTTGGCTATGTTACAGACTAGTTTCTCATCTATACCAAAGGTACATTTTAATTCTCTTCAGGTTTCCTTTGATTAGAATCCAAATAATAGCTTTTGGTGAGTGAAAAGTTCATTTGAGTGAATTTGAAAAAGTTGCAGGTGACTTTCAAAACCAGTTTACAGATCTGTTTTCATGGTGTGTTGACATTCTAAATATATGTGCGTGTGATCTTGTTCTTCTGACACCTGCTGCATATCGGGAACTGTGTGCTATGGAGGCCTATATTGATAAAACGATTGGAAAACAGACAAAATCTGTTTGGCCTAAAGAGAGTTTCATGTTCCATTTCCACTCCTATTGTGACCGTGGCAGATGTTGTACACTTCACATCTTATATTGTCTTTTATCTTTTTAGGAATCTCAGCATGTTAACTACAGTATACCAGGGCCGAGTAAGTATTTAAAGCTATTTAAAATGGGATGTTTTTAATGTCTCTGCCAAGGCAGTAAAGTTAATGGAGTTTATTTCTTGGGCCTGAACCGCAACAATTCAAAGGGCATACTATGCTAATGTGTTTTAATGTTCAGTAGACACATGTATCTTTCTGGAATTTATAGGCTGCATTAAGTTTGTAGAAATGGTTTCCAACTATTGAATGGGCAATTTTGCAGCATTTGGTCCATTTTCCAGGATGTGAGCTCATAATCTAGACAGGCCAAACAGCAACTGAGAGAGAGTTTGTTTCCCAAAGGTGCTTGTTCAGGTGATTCAGCTAGATGTAACAATCCCATTGCACTATTTCATATAAAAGAGGAAGTTCCCCCAGCTTCATGGCCAATTTTCCTCCCACACTCCGTCACCAAAATACCGGATTAATGGTCAATCTCATCACATTGGCATTTGTGGAATGTTGCTAGTGCAGATCAGCTTCTACATTTGTCTACAGAATCGTCAATCTACTTTAAAAGGTCACTATATAAAATAGTCATTGTACTGCAAAAGTAATTAATTGTAGGGAGTGCTTTGATATTTTGATAAAGTGCTATATCAAATACAAGTGCTGGTATTATGAGACTTATTCCAGGAGTTGGATTGCCATCATAACTTGAATAATCTGATGCGCTTTTTTTCCATTATCTGCTGAGTTATTAGGTAGTGAGAGCCAAGGAATGTTGGGCAACTCCTCCACAATCAATGAAAATCAGTGCACAAATAATCTTTTACTCCTCTTGCATACCTAGCAGCTATTTGCAGAGCAATCTCTGATGAAAACTGGTCACTTACCTATATTCTCTGCCAGGGAATGTTCAAATGAGGTAAAAGCCTTGACAATGGGTATTAAAGGTGCTGTAGGATAATACAGCTTTTTTTTATTCTACAGGCTAGTTTTCTTTACGAAAGGTACCGTTAACTTGTCGTCATAACTCGAAGCAGAACGTAGTAAGGCGCATATTTTGAAAGGGGGAGAAACTGACTTGGGCATGTTATCAACTGAACAAAGGCATGTCTTCAGTCATCTAAGGTTCTCTGTAAAGCATGTCCCTTAATAACTAGTTGTAGGATGCAATTAAGGAATTCCAAGGACAAAACCAACAATTGTGAACCTTCTCCCCATCACAACCTCATCTAAAAAAAATTCCAGGCTGCTCTAGATCATTTGTACAGTGAATGGAGGTAAAAATGATTCTCCCTGATCTTTAAACCTCCAATGAGGAAATCATTTTATTGCTCTTTTCCTTGAAATAAAGTAGCAAAGTGTCAGACCTTAGAAAGTTCATCTCCTACAAATAGCAGTTCAACTGCATTAACTTTTTTCAAATCTCGTTCCTTGTCTAATAGGGCAGGTGGGTGATCCACCCATGCCTCTTTTGAAAGCTATTGAGAGGTTGAAAGCTAGAAGGTGCACAAGAGCAGTCCAGGGCGATTTCTCTCTTAATTATTCTCCCTGTGAGAATTGCCCAGCAAGTGCAAGGAACCAATTTTCAGCAACTCGCCATATGGGGAATTGCAGATGAGAAGCACTGTGCTGTCACTGGTACACAACATGCTGTCCGCTACTTTACATTTTAACTGCACACTTTGTCTTTGCAATAGTAACGACTTTTTTTTAATAATGAGATTTTAATTGCAGAGAGATACAGTGCTACATCAAAAGCGGCCTCCAATAATCGAGCAAAATCGTAAGTAGTTCTCATTTTTGTCCACTTTATTCTCTTGATGTATACGAGGAAGTGAGGAAAGTTGAAGTTTAATTTGGAGTAGGCAATTTCCAGGTGAGTTTTAAGTAAGAATATAAATGTCAGGTGCTCCAATAGCTCAAAAAGTCGTCTATACGTGCTCAAGCATCGTCAATACTACAGCTTGCAAATGCCTTAAAGCTAAATGTTTTTGTGTCTCTCCTCCCCCCCCCCCCCCCCCCCCCATTTAAAAAAAACATTGGTCATGAGAAGACATGGGCCAAATCCATTTTTCTCAGATGAAGATAAGCTTTTTTCCAGTTATATATTATTTTTATAACCTGTACACACTGTTGAGACATGAATTTAATTGATGGGAAAGGTAACTAAACCAACAGTGTATATAACCAACTTCTTGGGTCTCATAAGAAATGAATAGGGAAGTGCTGACCGCACCCTATCATACTGCTGTGGATCCCAACTTCAGGATGTCCTCCCGACGTGAAAGCCACTATACAACTGCAATTTTATTGTTACAATAGTGCTTCACTAATAATTAGAGGTGTGTGTGATCTGCCAGAATAGACTGAGGTTTTCCTGATGGCTTATTGAATAATACTCTGCTAGAGACAAGGTACCAGATTTGATCACAAGTCTGTCACAATTAGCGAGCAGTGCCGGGAGGCACTAGAGTTGGCCTAAGCAACTCTGGTCTAAGCATCCCTTGTTGAAGTAGTTTCAAATAAGTTGACTTCTAATTAGCCTGCTTCTTCATTAGTACAGTGAAATACTGCACAGAGTGGTGGTTGTTAAGGTGTTTCCCCTTGTGGATGAGAAATATCCAAACGTAGCTTGGCTATCTGAGGAAAGCAAAGGTGANTTTTTTTTCAACTCCTTTCGCTAAATCCCATTGATCCTGACCAACCTCTGGTCCTCCCTGCAGCACAGGCCTTTTAGATTATGTTGACTGAATGCCTGACATCAATAGTAACGGAATACAATAACAACTCGCATTTATATAGCGTCCCTCACGCAGGGTAGCGTCCCAGAGCGCTTGACAGTGGCGTAGAACGATGCTGAGCTGGGGAGAGGGGGAGATGACTAGGTGCAGTTGAAGAGGATCTCCTGAAAAATAAAAAGATTTGCCAAAATAAATTCCGAACTAGAGTTTACTTCATTGTTTGATTTTGTTTTGTCTTTTTTTGAGCTAGAGTGGTTTAGGTCATGCATTTCAACAGTCTTGGCATCGGTAAAATATTGTGCTTGGCTGAGCCTTGAAAATGCTTTTTTTTTTTTACATGTTTAAAACAATCTTACCGATCTCCAATACTAAATTACTGAAGTAATACTTAACATGTCTAAAAGAGACTTTAAATAATTCTAAGTTTATTTACAAGTGGTTTGATATAACACCACTTTTCTTCTTTTTAAATAGCTGTGAACCTGACCAAGCTGCATCACGGTAAGTCAACCTACCAGTGACTATTATTCCATTATGGAATGAACAGACAGAATTTAGACCACTGCACCATTATTGAGCTATTAGACCAGAAGATAATTTAACTTTGCTTTGATTTTGTTTGAAGCTTTTAGAATCAATACATTTGTGGAGTCCTGTAGCTCAGTGGTTAGAGCACTCGCTTTGCAAGTGAGAGACCTGAGTTCAATTCCAGTCAGGGCGAAAACTTGGGCAAGTTTCCTTACTCCACACAGAGCCTAATAATAATCCCTCCAAAAACAAAACAATAATAAATTGGTCATTTTCAATCTACGACTGTTTGTGGGACATTGCTGTGCGCAATTGGCTGCCGCGTTCGCCCACAAATATACAGTCAATTCACTTTACAGTGTGTTCTGTGAAGCGCTTTGGGACGTCCTCCCGACGTGAAAAGCGCTATATCAAATGCAAGGATTATTATTATTATTTTGGGTTTACTCTAATTCTTGCTCCCATTCTGAGTTTATTTTACAGAGGAGTTGCAATTATTGAAAGTTCTGTAACTTTCAGTTACATAGGAACAGGGGGAGGCCATTCAGTCCTTTGAGCCTGTTCCGCCATTTAATTAGATCATGGCTGATCTGTACCTCAACTAATCCTTGCAATTCCAATTTCCCGCTTTCTCCCCATATCCCTTAATACCCCGATTTACCAAAAATCTATCAACCTTGCTCTTGAAGGTGTGGATGGATCCAGCATCCACGGTCTTTTGGGGAGAGAATTCCAGATTTCTACCACCCTTTCAGTGAAAAATGCTTCCTGATTTCACTGTTAATGGCCTGCATTTAAGCATCAGACTGTAGCACAACTACCAACCATCAGAATTTCCACTTCCACTCAGAATAAAAACTATTTGAAATTTCTTAAAACAAAATCAATAAATTAAGTAGATGCCTAGAATGAACAAAATGTACTTTGGTGAATGTTGCAAATGATGATGCTTTATCAGCAGTTTAGATCTCAAGTGGCCCCCACTACTTAATTTTTGACGTAATCCTAATGTGTTCACTATTTGTAGTGAAAATATTACTGTCTAGATTATAATAATTTTGTTGGAGTTTGTAGATTATCTTATAAAACAATTCAAGACTAAAATATTTTAAAAATCAAAGATAGTTTTAAGATAGCTATTCAGAGGCTGACAGATAAAAATATATTAGCAGACTTGGCAACTGAGGTGGGGCTTTGCACTTTATTGTGCATGGATGGAAAACTATAGAAATATGGATCCTATTTAAAAGGCTTGAACTCTCAATGGAACAGGGATGTAATTGCGTGATACACTTTGAAGCAAAATTACTGTATCCTTTCCCCCTCACCATATCTTTTATTCTAATGTAGTACAAATTCCTTATGGTGGATTTAATGGAGGTGACTTTTATGTTTGCTTGTTATTTAGAGTCTTACTTTACTCATGACTTTTATCATTCTTTAGTCGTGCAGTGACTTCAGTATCACTCCATTGCCATTGTGTATGTTTTGGTGTCAGAAAACTTTGGTCTTGTGAGTGGTCTATTGCGATCAGACCTTGCTGCCCTTGGCTGAGTTTGAAAGTACATCAGACTCTTGGTAAATGCAGATTTCACTTGTATTGAGCCAAATCTGCATGAGCCTCCTTGTTGCAATGATTGTGTCCCCAATGGTTTCTGTTTTCTATTGCTTAGAATGTTGGAGGATGACCTCAAACTTAGCAGCAGTGAGGACAGCGATGCAGATCAGGTTTGCTTTCACTGTAGTGTTCGTATTTTGTGAATGAATGTCAATGTTGTCTCAGGAATAATGTACCTTGATCAACCTGTTTGACCCTGTGCTGGAGAACACTATTTGTTTCTTGATCTGTATGTTGGTTCAATTCCCCTTACTGTCCTTTTCACTCACCAAAAAAAACTGTTACTGAGGTATTAATTGGAGACAAGGAAAGTGTGTAAATGTTTGAGTTAGGGAATGAGGGAAGAGCTACAACAGGCCACAAAGGATCACATGCAGCAAGATGGTGGAGAAAGGAGCCATAAAGGCCTGGAGATGGGATTAGAAGTGCATTGGTATTGCAGCACTTGTAAGTTGTCAGGTTGCTTTGCTTTCCAGCTTGCCAAAATGTGACGGGGGCTCATTGGTGACCTGTTTGAAGTGACATTTTTCATTCACACCATTCTTAACCCCTACATCCACCACCCCACCCAATCCTCCTTCAAAAAAATTACAAGATGCTATAAGATTAAACAATCCTCCTTCAAAAAAATTATGAGATGCTATAAGATTAAAGAATTACAACTGCGCCAGTTCTGATAGCTTGTTTTATATTTTCTCGGTTTGCCATTAAAGATAACATCATCATTCTTTAAACTCCCTTTCCCCACCAAGCATGTAATAGCTCTCAGCCTTTCTTCATTTTTCACACATCAGACCTATTGCTTGCTCAGTGATTTAATTACCTTTGTGTGTAATGAAACTGCATTTTAAAACTGAAGTAAAGTGAAGTTCTATTGCAGATTTTTTTGTATATTTGTGCGTTTTTTTAGCGTTGTTTCATATAAACCAATAATGGAAGGTGTGTGCTATTTCGGTTGTGGCACCATTGTCCTTACTTTACATTGAAATTATGCAATGCTACTGCCTTAAATTGCTTTAGTTTCATGATAATCGAACACTGATTTGTAGCTTGACGATTTAATTTACACCACTGGTCTGTGAACCTATAGAGTATTTCAGCATGTGATGAAGCACTGCAATAGTCATTTACATATAGATTCCTAATTTGATGGATTTGATGAGTATCTTTTTAATCCTTAGGATTCGAAACCAGCAGCAAGGGCTACTCCTGGCGGGTAGGTAATACTGGCAGAGGCCGCAAAATGTAGCCTGTCTTAAGCTTTTCTCTCCTGTTCAAGTATTCTATCTAGCCTTTTCCACCTGTGAACGTTTATCATTTCTAGTCCTAGATGATTGGACCAGTAGAATGTCAGAATTGGCACAGCAATTCACCCTAAGTAGTTTGTGGCTTTGGTCAGTAACAAACTGCTACTGACATAATTTTATGGATAACAAACTGCTAACATATTGATATTGCTTGACTAGTAGTCTCCATTGATTCTGTTAAGCTTAGTTAGCCACAACCTTGCATAACTATTAAATTGTGAACAGAGCTCTTAAAAGCTGAATTATTCTCACAATAGAAATAACATAATGGATGTAGCCAGAGACTATTATTAGATTCTCAATTTCTGTTAAATGTATGTGGTAACAAAACCAAAGTAAAGAGACTGATTATTCAGTCTTGTATATAAAGAACATGTCATTTGAAATCTACTTGAACTTCTTAACTGATTGCTAGAATTGCCCATAAAATGTGTTCTCTTTAGTACTTCTGAACCTTCCCAGCAAAACAGTGAGGGCGTGGAACCATCCAGAGGTGATTCCAGCAGCCACAGTGGCTCGGAAAGTAGTTCTGGATCAGACTCTGAAAGCGAAAGCAGCTCTAGTGACAGTGAAGCAAATGAACCATCTAGGAGTGCATCACCCGAGGTATGTCTGGAGTTAGTGTGATGTAATTGATGTGTTAATAGTGTAATTGTAATGTGTTTGATGGTATGCTTTCTTTCCATTACCTGTGTTTTCACCTATGGTTTTGGTTAGAAAAAAAGCTTTATGAGCCTGAATTTGCCACTCCCAATCCTAAGTGTTCATTTGTGCTAGGAGGGTAAAGCATTTAGTGTTTGTGTTGTTAGACATCTGACTTTGTCACAGTATAGATTTTGTTCTGAAAAATGAAAATTACATCAGGTAAAATACAGCAGAATTCATCATGTTCACTCATTACAGAAACACATTTCAGCAGGTCTGACGCAGACTTTAGTTAGAATAGTGAATGTTTAAGCTTGGTAGTGTATGGTTTCTCCTACATGTGAATAATTGCAGTATCAACAATAACATCTTAAGGTGTGCAATGTAATAATTTGTGCATACATAGCCAGGGTAAATATATAGTTGTTGAAATCATTCAATTCCCTGTCTACGCCTGTCTGGATGATGTAAATTCTTTAATTCAGTGATTTTAAAGATGTCATCTTTGACATGGAGGCTTGATTTCATGCTAGAAATGCAGTTTAGATGTACTTCCAAAATAAATGCCTGTCGAGATATGGAAAGTGGTAAATGCAATCTCCTGAAAGCTTCCATTGGCTGGACTGAGGGATGTTACTGTATTTTGTTATCGTGATAAAACCTTTAGATTTTTTTAAAGATTCTCCGAAGAAAGTTATATTGGCTGCCAATGCGTCCTACATTTTCACATTTTTTTTAGTGTTTTTGTTACCGGTATTTTTTAAAAAAAAATGTGTCTGGATTCTGTGAGCACCAGTTTAGATTTCTCTTTTCTGTTCAGCCTGAACGACCACCTTCAAGTAAGTGGCAACTAGACAACTGGTTGAAAGGGAACTCGCACAAAGTTTCCCCAGCTTCTTCTGTGGACAGTCATATCCAGTCATCGCAGAGCTACAAGAAAGAAAGCAGAGACCAAAATGCAGCCTACGAGGATCCAAGTGGATCAAAGGATGTGACCACAGCCACATCCGGAAGGGATTCGAGGACTGCACAGAAAGGTTCTGAAAACCGAGGCCGTCAGAAATCACCAGCACAAAGTGATGGTAGCACACAACGGAAGTGGGTTGGTAAAAAGCAGCCTAAAAAGGCAGAAAGGCCAGCTGTAACTGAGGAGCAACGAGGAGGGCTGAAAGTTGAAAGTGAGCCTACCTCAGACAGGGCTACTCCTATTCCTGCCAATCGTCACAAAGCTGCTACAAAGGGTTCCAGAAAGCCTAGCACAAAATCCAAATCGACGAGAGTGACTGTGGAAAAAAGAAAGCACAACAAGAGTGCGAGTAAAACCCCCCAAAAATCCAAGGAATATGTTGATACGGACTCCTCTTCCTCTGATTCTGAGCAAAGCGAGACCCTCCCTCCCGCATCCCAAACCCCAAAGTATTCAGAGAATAACAGGACTCCTGTTCATAAATCCTCCATGGATGGAGAAGACAGCATTTTTAGGCAGAGGATTTTCTCTCCTATGGAAGAGAAGGAACTCCTTTCACCACTGAGTGATGTTGATGACAAATATCGCAACATTACCTCACTTATTGTTAGAATTGACTTAAGTCTCTTGTCCCGGAGACCTGAATCTCCTCATAAAGAAATTGAGCAGCCTAAAGTGGACAAGGAGGTCTCTTCTGACAGGCGAATGCGAGACACTCCAAAACAACCAACTGAAAAAAGTACCACCAAAGGCAAGAGAAAGCACAAGGTAAGAGACATTGCGTTGGCTTGAGAGTACATTTTTACTCATCGTGAAGATATTCATCATTGGGTGGCATCAAGAGGGGTGAACTTGGTCCATCTGTTGCAGGCATTTCAAATAGAATTGCAGTGCTTCTATTTCAGATGATGTGGTTGGTGGATTCACCTGGGGATCTTGTGTGCTGTACTCACTGTCTTGAACACTGGGCCACTCAGTTGAACCTGATGGTGGGTCTTCTAAGTGTAGTATATCTGCATAGATCAAGAGGGGTCCCNAAAAAATGTGGTAAATCCCAAAACTGTTTGTGCCTTCCAAAGATGTACATTATTTTACATCTAAGTGTTGATCTTCGTTACTGACCAAAAGGGTTTATGTCAACAAAATATATGAAAATGAATATGTACTTAATGGTTTGATCTTACAATATATTTCTCTGTCTTTCCCATCAGGAGGTTGTCTCAAAGCCCTTATTTAATAATAAGCCTTACGTCGTATCATGACATTGTGAGGTCTCAAAAGTGCTTCACAAAATATACTGTATATTTTGTGGGCAAATTCATTAGAAAGCTTCAGGGCAGACAACACAAATAATAGAATTATAGAATATTACAGCACAGAAGGAGGCCATTCGACCCATTGTGCATGTGGCGGCTCTTTGGAAGAGCTACCTAATCAGTCGCACTCCCCCGCTGTTTCTCCATATCCCTGCAAATTTTTCCATTTCAGAAACAAATGTTCTCATTACTGTTTGAACTTCTGATTTATTTGGAAAGAGATCGTTTGAGCTTTTATTAAGTTTTCTCCTTGCATACTTTATTTTCTTTCCAAACATTTGTAACCATTCTTTTCAGCTTGGGACAAATCCAAATTCTTCCTTTGAAACATGACAGCCGTAGAGGACTGTATATTATTTGGGTTCCTAATTATTGCCATTCGGTCAGGCTTTGTGGGAGCTAAGACCTGCCAGAGGACTGTCCATCCTGTACAGGATCTTCCTTTGATTGGCAAGTAGCCATACAAATCACCATGGAGGCTTACCATGCCATCTCTTGGAAAGGATATTCAAGGAAGGATGTATGCTGATTCAGAACAACCTTAGCAGGATCTTGACTCTGGTTATGGAGAGTCCTGTAACTCAGTAGGTAGAGCCCTCGCCTCGCAAGCAAGAGGACCTGGGTTGGATTCTCGGCAGGGCGAAACGTTGGGCAAGTTTCCTAACTCCACACGTCTCTGTTTACCTATCAGTAAGAAGGAACCTGGTTGTTAGTCGTTTGGCGGATCGCTTTTCCGGGGGAATAATTCCTTCAAAAAAAAATAATAATTTGGACACTTAATCCGCATCTGATTGTGGGACACTGCCTTGTGCAATTGGCTACCATGTTTTGCCCAAAACATGCAGTCAATTCACTTTACAGTATATTCTGTGAAGTGTTTTGAGACGTCTAGAAGACGCGATAAGGCGCTATAATGAAATGCAAGGATTGTTATTATTATTCGATGATCCCATTGCTCTGGAACTCGTCACGTTTCAGTGTTCAAACTTTTTTTTCAAATAATTTTTGTCTTTATTGGATTTGTAGTTACCCAGTGTCACTCTTTCGTGGTCTATTTGGCAAGCGAGCTGGTTCCTGTGAAATCTCAAATCCTTACCTGAGACTGTAATAATATTTTCTGCCACTAGAGGTCTTACGTAATCAATGGAAATGGTAAAGCCGGTGGTGCTGCCGACAAATTCTGTAATTTTCCTGGGGGAAGAGGGTTGGAGAGATGGGTACAGGTCTGTGGGTGCAAAAAATGCTCTTAATTTTGCAATTCGTTGACCGTCTCAATCCTTGTCTCAATCCAAGGCTGTTGTAATTATGAAGACAGATTAATTTGGTGATTTTCCCACTGGATTTTATTTGAGCCCACAGATATTCACAGGATGGTAGATTCAACAGTGCGTCTGCAATACAAGAGCTTGAATGAAAAAGAATAACTTGCTACAGGTTGAGTTAATGATACTTCATTCACTGCTGAGGCAGTCTGCGCTGGGAACTGCGCACTCGGCTGCTGAGTTTCGCCCACAAAATGCAAAGTTAATTCCCTTGACAGTATATTCTGTGAAGCACTTTGCGACGTCCCGAAGACATGATAAGGTACCACATCAAATCCAAGGATTATGATTATAACTGAGAGACTCCAGATTTTTCAAAGTGTAGCAGTCAACTAAGAGGCGAATTAATCACCTCTACTTGTAATGGTTATGCTTTCTCCTTCAAGCTCTTGTATCATTATCTGTCCACATTATAATCATTTGCCTTTCTGGTAAATATATTTGTATCACTTTAAACGGTGTTAGTTGGACTGGTTGCTGAGTGGCCCTGATGTTATAATCCCCCCCTGCATTATACCATCTTATACTGTCTACAAGTGGACTGTTTCAAACTATGTTTTTTTCTGTCCTTTAAGCCATTTTGGAACTGCAGTTTTTACTATAGTAAAAGACCAAATTCACTTGTATTGTGAGGGTTTTCTTGTTACCGGCTCCAATTCTATCTTAAAATCATTTCAGTGTTATGACAAACCGTACAGTAGCATCACAGACTGTCTTGTGCACTGTCGGTTTCTTGTTCGATCAAAATCTGAAACGAAATCCTAGCAGCAAATATAAAACCAATTTTGTTTAGAAACTTCTTTTTCCAGGGTTGTTTTCCTTTTCCTGAATGCAAGACACCATTGCTGTGAGGGGGGGCTGTGGTGTAATTGCACTTGAAGCCAGTGGATGTGACCTCATAATGGAGATGTACGTTTAATGTAGTTACTGATGCAATGATAATTGCTGCAACATCGAAGCTAATACGAGTTGGGAGAGTTTGGTGGCAATTATTTTGTGATGTGTTGTTCAGAATGATGGAGAGAGTGAGAGCTGTGAAAATAAGAAGCCTAAAGCAGAAGAAAAGATTACTAGCCACAAGACTTCAAGCAGCAAAGAGTAAGTAATATTCTACCTCTGCCTACAAATGTTAATGAGGGATATGCAGTAATAATTTTTAAATTAAATTTTTAAATACATTCATGGATGTACAGTTGTTAAACATAAGGCAAAATACTGCATATTATTATCTGAAATAAATCAGAAATCATAACAGAAGTTGCTGGGTCAGGCAGCATCTATGAAGAGAGGAGGTGAGTTAACATTTCAGGGCAATGACCTTTGTCAGAACCGGAGGATGTTGGAAGGGAGCAGATTGTAAGAACAAGCAGCAAAGGGTGTACGTTTGTTTCTATTTTAGATGTACAGTTGTTTCTGTTTTAGATTGACATTTAGATTACTACCCGATTTTTTTTTTCCTTTCTAGTTTTTCCTCTTAACTAACCTTTGCTGAAGGCAGCAGTTCGAGTTGGGGTATTGTTCTATGGGTAACATCAGTCCTTTGGTGCTTTTACCCAACTGACCATTCTTTTTGTTTGAACCAGAATAATGTATTCATGAGCTATTTTCCAATGGGTACCAGATCTTTCTGCTCTGTAAAGCTGAGAGCGGTATCATGTGGTTTTTATACTCGATGAGCTTTTGGAGCTATTTAAGTCCCAGATTTTTGTTACCAATAGCAGTAGTGTTATGTGGTCATAACACTGACTGTCCAGTGCCTTGGAACGTCCTCCCGACGTGAAAGGCGCTTAACAAGTGTAATTTTGTTGTTGTTATCATGCGGATTTTATCCATGGGTACTCTGGAATTATAACTGTCGCACTGGCGGAACAATATGCATGGTATGTTGAATATTGGGTAGCAGATATTTCCACTGGGTCATTACATATTTGAAGGAGGAAATCCGATTTACATTATCAGAGTGAATCATTTCAATATTAACAAGAGTTTACATTCCTACCTTCACAGTTCTTTGAGGCCATCTTCTGAACGAGACAAGGTATCTCTACCATCTCCATCTGCCTCTGCTCCGCAAAGGACTCCCAAGACAGAGCACAAACATCAGAGCCGCAGGAGAACTGCTAGTCAGTCCTCCACCTCAAAGAGCAATAATAGCAGTAGCACCAAGCAAAGCAGCAGCAGTGCCAAAAGCAGTTCCTCATCTTCCAAGCATAAAAAGACAGAAGAAAAGGCATCTATGCGTCCCAAGGAGAACCGGGTCAGTCATCTCTGGTGATTTTAAAAAGCTATGTATACTGCTAGCACTTTGAGAACAAATGCAACTCTTTGACTGGATACTGGGAGATGCACACAGGGATTGAGCCTTACCGTTTATTTTTAAACCCTTTCTGTAGAGACCCTGCTTGTTTCTGGTTTGAAATTGATGTCTCACTGTGTTGGGAAGCACGGTTATGAGTTCATATTTGTGCTTCTCGTTCCATTGTACTCTAAGGAATTATAAATACTTTGTCCCTTGACAATTTTCTGTTCTCAGGAAGATGCTTTGATTCCCTCTTCTTCGTTAATCTTACTTGCACATGTTCTCTCTACAAAACCTCACCATTATTTATTTACATGTGAGATTTAATCTTCAAGATCAACAGTACTTGACTCTTGCAGTCTCGTAGTTGGTTGCAATCTTGTTGTCATTCTGCACCCACACAATGCTCACCTCCTTTATGGCACCTTACAGTTCTTTAGAACAATACAGCTTTTATTGGTGATCAGAAGTAGATATTGCTGTATTCTGTTTTTCCTGTTTAGGTCTATTCTCTGTAAACATTACAACATGCTGCACAAGTGATTTCGTTAAAGCAAAGCTTGAATACAATTTACACAGCTCAGCAGTGTTCCTGTATGGCTGCAAAGTTATTTTCAAACATCAGCTCAAATCTACATCAATGTAGATCAATTTTCTCTCTTTGCAGCATTCCTGAATGTTGAAATAATAATCAAATATTAACGTAGGACAGTAAAGTATTAATTAAATATTAAATTACTGGAACGAAAATGAAAAGTGCTTTTTATGCCTGACTGTTACAGTGAGGAATACTGAACTGTACACAGTCTGATTGAAACTTTAATTTGCAGTTGCAAGAAAAAAACCCTGTTAGCTCTGCTCTGCCATCATCAACACCATCAGGAGATGGTTTGAAGTTGAGGAGGCCCAAGTTGACTTTCGAGGATCGGTGAGTACAATTTTGTGCTTGGGTGTGAATGGAGCTAAATTGAAGTGTTGTACAGTTTCAAGTGTTGTTGACAATGTTATAGCAAGGCTATAACTGGTTGGTAATGGGAACAAGCAGAGAGAGAAAGAGCCCTAGCACAAATCAAGAGAGAAAATTAGAAGATTCTTGCCCTTAAAGAAATACACCATATAACAACCTATATCTAGGTATGCTAGATGAAAAAAGACCAAGATCCATCTCGTTCACCTTCCACCTTCCTGGCGTTCGCATGCATATATGTACCGAACTACCCATGTACTATATCCCATAATGTTATTTCTTAAAAGAAAACTATCTAATCGGTGTTTGAACGAATCAACATTTCATGTACATCTATACACATTAGATGCTCCATTCTGCCTCCACAATGTTTGTGTATAGTTTATAAACTCAGCCGCTCCTGAAATACTATTTTCAACTGATAATGGGGGTCAACATCAGAGTTATGTTTATGGAAAAACAGCTTTGTAGGTGCTGCATTGTAGAGCATGTTGTGGACACCAAGCTGTTAAATTGGCATTCCCAAAAGCCCTATGCCTTGAGGCATCCTATATTTCAGCAGCACAGGCAACATTATGGCTATTGTTAACATTGAGATATTTTTAACAGGGGTGAGAAACATCACTAATTCACAGTAGCGTTGGTCTGTGGGGAAAGTGTCTACAGGGTTTCCTAACTGAAGACCATTGCTAAAGTTTGGAGGTACACGCCTCCCTTCACCACAGGTGTCTGACGAAGTGGTGAGAAAATGGAGGTGTTTCACATCCTCAGAAAGCTGCCTCCCTTTTATCTCTGCTTTGTATGTGACTGCATAATTCCAGAATTAAATATTCAAAATGTAATTGTATTCTATTTTTGGATGAATCTTGAAACTAATGCTTACACATTTGTGACTGTAGGCTGCTCAGATTCAGATATGTAAATATTTTGTTTTCAAAAACGAAATTAAAATCTAGAAAGTCTAGAAAAAATGTTGGTTGCAGAGTTGTCAAGTAGTGTTATGCATATGGTTGTCAAAGTGAACTTGCTAACTACCAACTTGTAGTTTTGACCTGTGAAGAACAATGTTTCTTTAAAACCTGGAGATTACATTTATTATTTAATCGTTTAGGTTGTATTCAGCTGATCATTACCTCCAGGAAGCAAAAAAGCTCAAGCACAATGCAGATGCACTGGTAAGTTATACTATTTGCCTTTTTCTGGTACAAAAACTCATTTGTGTGTATTGCATTGGTATCGTTTATACTTCTTTTATGAAAAGCTCCCATTTATTTGCTTGAGATCCACATGTCAGGGCTGGTAGCTTAGCAAACTTCAAATCAAATATGTGAGGTTGCTTTAAATTTGCAATGGGCCAGTAAAGCAGTCATCGGAACAGTGAATGTTGCAGATAAACTTGTGTCCGTTTAATTAAGTGTGTTGACAATCACATTGTGGACTTTCAGTTGAAGAACAGTAGGAGATAATGGGGCAACATGTTGCTAATTGTTTTTTTAAATAGAAATCCATTGTCCTGGTTTATTTATATATACAGCCATCCTGTCTGACAATGATAGCAAATTCAGAAACAAAGCCTTTATACCCTAGAAATCTGGGCTGTCTCTTTGTTGCTATAATGATGTCAGTAAAGGGGATTGATCAGTTACTTTTACAACTTAGAATCAGCGATCACCGTACAGTGACAGTAAACCAGTCAGCTTCTTCAGCAATTTAGACAAAGAATGATGGAAAACTATCATTTAAACTACTTTTAGCGCCCTTTAGGCGAATAGTGCCTGTAAGCGCTTGTTAAATATTTAACTCCCCATATTAATTTTTTTTAAAAAGTTATTTTACATAAGTTTTAATTTGTTTGTTATTGGAGCTATGTGCTGATCCCCTACAATTTTGTCACTTTTAGTCGGACAGGTTTGAAAAAGCAGTGTATTATCTTGATGCTGTCGTATCTTTCATTGAGTGCGGTAATGCTTTGGAAAGAAGTTCTCAAGAGGCCAAGTCTCCTTTCCCCATGTATGCTGAGACTGTAGAACTTATCAAGTAAGTGGTTCAGTGACTGTGGATCATACATTATCTGCTTAAAAACATGATATTTGGGCTAATTGATATCAAAGATAGGGTAGAGGTTAGTGATATACTATCTTGTATCGTGATCTTTTCGTTCTATATTTTTCTAATGTAGTAAACCATTTCCTATCTCTCTCACTTAAACTTAGTCTATTACATCTCTACTTTCTCAAAGTAAAATCACTGAGAGCAACAGCTATCAACATGTCTGACCATAACACTGGTTTGCAATGAGAAAGATGCAGAGAGATGAGATATAATCCTTTATTCTAAAAGCCATTTCTTATTGTACATCAAAGCACACACACCCACACACCGGTCCTCATAGGTTTTAATCTGGAAAGACATCACTGTATTCTCAGAAAATCAACCAAGGGAGATGGTTCAAAATCACCATCCCTATTTTTGGCCTAGCAAGTGGAAGAAAACTCAACCACATTCCCCAAGTAATGTGCAGTGGGAAGTGAATTGATAGACAAATTGGGTAACAAAACAAACAAAGTCTACTTTGTGGCAAAAGTACCTACTAGGGTATCGATGGGCAGGGTCACTTTATTACACTGTATCTTCATTGCAGTAAACAATGAATTTTTTTTAATGGATTAAACTTTGAATAATAATAATACTTGCATTTGATATAGTGCGTTATCATGTCTTCGAGGCGTCTCAAAGCGCTTCACAGAATATACTGTAAAGTGAATTGACTATACATTTTGTGGGCGAAATGCAGCCGCCAATTGCACACATGAGTGTCCCACAAACAGTCGTGGATTATTATTATTATTTACTTTTTTTAGCACCTAGTTCAGAGTTGAGTATCTGCTAGAATATAAATAACCCAATAAACCATTTTCTATCTGATTTCCCTGACATTGTTTAATCCCTTTTAACGTGTTTTGCAACTTAGTTTTGCCTTTTATTTCACTTACTCAGTTTTACGACCAGATGCATTCGCAGCCTCCACTCAGCACTTCAGTGCTTACAAAATGTGTCGCTGGATGTTGCAAAGTATGAGAACATTTAAGGCTTCAGTATTTTATTAAAAAGTAAATTCTATAATGTTACAAGGTTTTATACAATTATGTAGGTTTCACAAACCAAAAAGTGCACCATCTGTATTTTCTTCTCTCCAGATACACTATGAAGTTAAAGAACCATATGGCACCTGATGCTACTGCAGCAGATAAAAAGCTGGCCGTCTTGTGGTACGTTTAGCCTTCTGTGTACCGTCATCTTAATGAGGTTTGAGCTCCTTCTGATCAGAGGAAGTTTGTTTTGAAATAGATGGATTGCCATTGCACTAACCAGTTTATATCTAAAACATCAACAGTATATATATATATATATACACACGTTGCGTGATCATGTGAAATTGTTGATCGTAAATTGTTGATGGCAGCTTCTGATATGAATACGGTCAAAGCACACGTCAAGACCTATTTGCGTTTTGAGATGTTCTGATGTGGAAGGCGCTGCATAGATTAGTATTGTACAATAAGGTCACTCTTTTGGACCTTCTATCTTCCAGTGATAGTTTAGTAACAGTATAGCTTTGAAATAAGGCCATTTGCCCCATCCAGTCGACTGCTGTTTATGCTGCACACAAGTGCCTATCCTCAATCCTATTCCTCGTCCCATATCGCTCAACTTTATTCTCCTTTAACCATGTGTCCAGTCTTTTTTTTTTAAATGTGCGTGTGGTTGGTGCCCCAACAACTGACTGCGGCAGGGAATTCCACTCTTGCCACACTCTGTGAAAAAATTTTCTCATCTTCGTTCTGGACCTCCCAGTTCTGATTTTAAACTATGCCCTCTAGTTCTATGTGCTTGATTTCTGCCATAATCTCAATCAATGATTAACCTGTAAATTGGCTGAAATTTTGATTGGTGTTCATTCGGGGGAAATGCCAATGAAGGTCAAGGTTGCCAAGGCACTAGCTATGACACCACCCAGAATTTCAGTCTAGGAATCTCTTCAGTTAACAATGTAGAAATGTCTGTTAATTCAAATGCATGTCCTTGTTTGTAGTCTCCGATGTCAGTCACTTTTGTACATGAGGCTGTTTAAATTGAAGAAGGACAGTGCACTAAAATACTCCAAAACATTGACCGAACACCTCAAGGTAAATCAGATCATTATTGTTGTAGTTTGTTTTACTTGATTGCTCTAAGCCATTCCATTTTGTGACCTAAAACTGTTTTTCATTTTGTAGAATTCCTATAACAGTGCTCAGGCTCAGTCACCTGGTGTGGGCAGGTAATTTACTTTTTGTGCATTATTTTAACATATGTTCTATCTTATACAAAATCACAGATAAACATTAAGTTTTTGGGGAGATGGTTGGGTGGAGCAGTTGTGTAGTTTTGTCATGCGTGGCAGTCTGGCTCGATTGGTAGCACTCCCATTCCAAGTCAGAATGTTGTGAGTTCAAGTCCCTTATCAGGACTTTGAACTTGATCTAGGCTGACATTCCAGTGCAGTGCTGGGGATATGCTGTGTTTTCAGAAATGTCAACCTTCAGATAATAAGACATTAAAACAAGATATCTTTGCCCATTCAACAGGATGTTATAGATCCCACAGAGTCTTTTTCCAAATGAAATAGTAATTTGGGAAAGTCTTAGCCAACCATCCCCCCAAATAAAATTGGTCATTCACTTTATGCCTGTTTATGGAACATTGCTGTGTGCAAATTGGCTCACGCTTCAACTGTAAAATATGTAGTCACTATACTCATCTAAAGGACAGCATCTGACAATGCAGCACATCCCCAGCACTGCATTGGAGTGCCAATTTAGACTGTGTAAGTTCAAGTCCCGACATGGGATTTGAACCCACAGCGTTCTGACTCATACGCGAGAGTCCTACCCACTGAGCGAAGTTGACACACTTGTTGACACTACAGACTCTCATAAAAGCTACTGAGGGTTGCTGATACCCTTTGTAAAACCATACCCCAGAATAATCAGAAGGGAACATTTGGGAACAAAACAAATATTACAGTCCCATAAAAAGGCGATTGAGACTGAAGATTGATTTGCAATTTGCTACCGTTGAATGTATGTTAAACATTTTTTTAATCCTTCTTGATAGCAAAGCTGCAGGCACACCATCTCCTGTGTCTCCCAAACTCTCTCCAGGCACTGCTGGAAACTATTCCTCTGGGGGGAATTCTTCCTCCAGCAGCTCTTCTGCCTCTGTCACAATTCCACAAAGGATCCATCAGATGGCAGCTAGTTATGTCCAAGTCACGTCCAATTTCCTGTTTGCCACTGAGGTGTGGGACCAAGCTGATCAGCTGGGGAAAGAAAACAAAGGTAGGTTACCTGAAGGCAGTTTCCAGTGTTACGTTACAGTATTATGCTACTTATATGAGTTCTCTCGATTTATTTTGAATGTAAGGTTGTTTTTTGAAATCATTTTACTTTGATTCTCATAGTCTACCACTTTGGGAATTTAGTCCTGTATAGGCCAATTCTGTTTATAAAAGGCCTCAGTAGAGTGCAAGCCTGCCTATAATGCAATCGTTATCCTGTGCTTGCTAGAAGTGTTGTTTGCTTTGGGTTTCTGGCGAGGATAATAATTATTTGTTCACTCAATCCACAACTGTTTGTGGACACAGCTGTACGCAATTGGCTACTGCATTTCACCCAGAAAATATGCAGTCGATTGACTCCAATATATTCTGCGAAGGGCACTGAGACCTTTCGAAGAGTGATAAGGCGCTATATCAATTCAAGGATTATTATTAACTTCAGTAAATTGACATGAGTCCAATAATGTCTTTGTTGCATGTACTTACCAAAAATCTTCTTTGTTTTTAGACTTTTTTACTGAGTTGGATAAAGTGATGCACCCATTGATATTCAGCAGCAGCAGTATGACTGAGCTGGTACGCTACACCCGCCAGGGTTTACATTGGCTTCGTTTGGATGCTAGCCTGATACCTTGAGGAACTTGGAAAAGTTGGACTGGAGATCCGAAGACTCTTCCTCTTTCTTACTGCCTCGAACATCTTTCACATCATTGTTGCTATATATATTTTTAAAGAAATTGCGCATAAAATCCTGACCTGGTTTTACAGAACAAAAAGAAATTATGAGAACTGTTACATTACCAATGAAACCGTTTTTAAACCAGTGACTCACCTTCCTGATAAAATACGTAGACCATAAATTTTTAATACTTTCGTTACATTTCTTCATAAATACTATCAATCGTCAAAGCTTCATCAAGCCTCTCCCAGAATGAAGGCTCCCAATCATGTAAACTATGATCAGCAGTATTTACACTAATGAAATAATCACAGCTTAGAAACAATAAGCCAAGTTTACTGCATGAAATCTAGGTGCACTTACATTTCATAATGGTTCTGTACTCCATGTCATATTCCCCTACGTGCCCAGTCCTTATTGTAAGGATAATATTGGGAGTTTTCCTTCCTATGAATCTTACTCAATTTCTGTGTCAAATCCGACATTAACACAGGGTATTTTTTTTAAAATTCAATTGTAAGAGACTGCATTAGAAAATTCTTCCCACTTTATAACGCATGCTCAAAGCTACATTTGTTTCTTGAATGCATGCTGCAATCTACCTAGGAAGTTGACTTTGATTTACCAAAGTAGAAAAATGTGCGCTGCTGGTTCCTTGTAGATACAAAACAGTAGTTGTGTTAACAGCCTTGCCCCAGTCTGATGTGACTTTCAAGTTCAGTTGATGCAACAGAATTGTGAATGGATTTTTATTGCTGCACATTGGAGGATACTTTGGGGCTATGATTTATGTAGGTACTTCACTGCATTTGCTATTGAATGCCATGTGCTGGATAACTGAAGTGGTTCTGGCATAACATTTGTACAGAAGACATGCACCTTTGTACAGGAGATGTACAGCATTTATACTGTTGTAGCTGTTGTAACTCATCTGCGATGCTAGCCAAATGAATCGCACCGTTGCCTCCCCATCACCAGCACAGCTTAGCTGCTTTCATATATTGGTTTCTCTACTCTGCTGGGCCTACAGCTTAATCAGTCTACGGTGTACCTGCACATAAGTTGGACAGTGAAATGTCCGTGGGCAATGCAGACCTGAATGAAATGTAATTGTTTGCGTAACATAGACTGTATGTGCCTGAAATGTTTCTGGTATAACAGCTGGTTGGAGGTTTTGTAAATTATGGATGGTTTTAAGCATTTTTTTTCTAAGAGTGTTGGGATGTGACATGAAATACTTGGCGTATAAAGGACTTTTTAATGTGAATAATTGAATTCCTATATATTAAGTTGTAAAATCTGAAAAAAGTACCAATGCAGCTCCAGTTATTATGCATTATAAAAATATACGGCTGCTTTAAATGTCACTGATTTAGCAAAAACGTTTTTTAAATTACTCTCACGAGTATAACCAGGTTAGCATTTCCTGAGTATTTTTGTTAAGCTCTTTTGGGGGTTGAATCTGCCACGTCAAACACATTGGGTGTGCCTTATACATCTGTATTCCCCCTCCTTGATATATATTTACAGTAGATTGCCATGGTGCTACGTCAAGCGGTCATGCTGTGTAAACTACTTATTTTGAGGGGAAAAAAGTGTCGTTTGTGTTTTAATTTCTAATCATGCCTTTGGGGTAAATGTTGGCCACTTTCCCCAGATGTCCGTGCCACACTATTTTAAATTGATTGCACTAGTGTAAAATTACAGGGCGGGAGGTCCAGACTATTCCCCTGGAATAAATTGAAATATACGGGGAGGTTGAGGTAAAACACTATTGAAATGAGTTCCAACATTTGCAGCCAGTCAAACAGGGAAGAAGTGCAGCAACTTAAAGCGGGGAATATATTTAATATAATTTTTTTTGTTTGAGTGAAGAAATTGGTAGTGCAAGTTTCTTTTTTGTTTGTGACTCCCAAAATGTTTGCTGTTGAACAGTTTGTTTTTTAAAAAACAAAATTACTTGCCAAGTAAACAGGAAGGCCCAGCGCTCAGCAGGTGCCTTGACTAGCATTATAGTGGTTAGACTTTAACCAGCAAACGTGTTCCGTGGTAAAGACATTTTGAAGAGGTTATTCTGTCTACAGTCGACCACTCAATATATTTTTAGTTAGGAAGGGAGATGTGCTTCAATGGTTTTTGTTGCTGCTTTAAAGTATTGGGAAACAGATTCTGCTGAGTGTGGTCAAGGTGACAAGTGGCTTCAGGGGAACAGCATGAGCAGAGGACGTCCGAAATTCTGCCCCTACAGACAACAAAGAGTGGGAAATTTTCTGTCTCGCTGTTTGTAGAAAACTGGCCTACTTGTGGTCAAAACTGGCAGGCCCGTGAGTTCAGAGCAAGATGCTTTTTTTTTAAAAAGCCGGACGAGGCGAGAAGTGTTTTTAAGATTAAAATATTTTTAAAATCAATTGACAATTCTTTGTAAATATTCCAAGAATTCCACGGGCCTTTTATCGCAGCTGCTTGAAAACGGCTTAGAAAAGAGTAATCCCTGCCAGTTACCACACCTCATTGTCATTTCTTACTGCTAAAATCTCATTGAATTGTTACTGACAGCAATGTTTGGAAAAAGTTAGATCAAACAACTTCTGCACCTAGTGAGAGAGAGAGAGAGAGACTCTTGTTCCAGCCGAACATACTGGTAAAAGTCATCTGTTGTTACATTCTCCACTTTTCTTCTCTGTGTGGAAAAAAAGTAATGTATTCAACCAGAGTAAGAAATAGCCATTGAACCACTTAACTAGCACAGTCTTCCTGTACAGCGATCTCCAGAGAGGTTCCCAAACATTTGTCAGCCAGCCAGATTCCAAAATGGTTTCAGTCTTTACCGTTGTCGTACTTGGGACTATAAATGTATGTGATGTTAATACTGAAAGTGTGTAATGATAGGTTTGTGTCTGATATGATGTCTGCCCTTAAAGTATCAAAAGTTTTAATGTAACGTGTATTTCTAATTATAAATGTTTTATTTGATAGAAATAACTGACCTTATAATATTTTATAGTATTTATTACTGTAGACAATGTCTAGGTCATGTAGACCTTTTAGCTCGCTGTTCCCATTTAATGCCTCCCTATGATTTGTATCTTCATTTTCAGATTCTGAAGATGAACAAAAAATATACCGGAGATCATTTGCTCCTCACTAGCTACACTTTTCTTTCATTTCAGTCTAAAGCTACAGATGTTTATTGAAACACATTAAACATTCAAACAGAGTAACCTTGTATAGCAGAAAATGACAAGTTGCAGAGAAATAATCAAAAAGGGAAGTGATGATTTTAATCAAAATTGGGCATGTGATTTCCCCCTCCCCCCTCTTGTGGGTTTCCTTTGCTATGTGTTCCTGTCACATTATCTTGATCAGTGTTTAGACCTCAGCAAAAATTGTCTGAATTTTGCAAGTGGCATTTTTGTTTAGTACTGAATACCTTTCAGAAAATTAAATGTTTTTACTTTTTACAACAGCTTTCCTTGTGCAAAACATCAGTCAATCACTAGATCAATTGCGACATGTTCTGCTGTTTGCTTTAGGTTATTGTACCAGTCCTAAGACAATAAGTTGCTCAAAATCAGGATGTTCGTAAAGTTCTTTGCAACTTTTTGAATGCCCTCGACATAGTTGCCTGGATTTTCTGTGACCTATTTATGTTCACGCAGTGTTATCCCTGTTTATCAACTGTATTACTGAATACTGGTACAGCTTGTATAATTTAGCACATCTTACTTAACAAAAGGTACCTTTTTAAAATAAAAAGGGGAATGGTCTATTTTTTAAATTTATAATGGTGTTTAAATGTGTTCCAAATAACTTGCTTTCTTATGATTTATAACACTTGATTGCATTGGCTTATACAAATGGAGAGGTTTAGTTAACTCAGCAAGTGAAAGCTTTTATAGCTGTGGGTGAGGTTAATCTCTAACATAGTGCCATCTTTTGCAATATACTGTACTTTGGCTCTTTACGAAGAGTGCTGCAGGGTCAAGATTGCCTCCTAAATGTTGGGGCAATTGAATCGGGAAATATTTGTAAAATAATCTGTTTATGGCAAGTAAAGCATTGTATAACCAGATTTTTGGGCTTCTGTAAAAATATATATTTTCCATCATAATGGAAAAATGTTTTTAGCAAATCTAGATTGTTGCAGTTCAGCTCTGTATTTTTCAACTTTAACCACAAGTTGCATATTTTTAAGGAAAATGGGATTCACGTATTTACTATGTGTATAAAAAAACTCAAGATTCTTGTTAATTATTCTGTCATGAAAAGAAGTAGGTTTGCTTTGTATAATGCACAATTGTTAACTTTAGTGAACTTCCAGTGAGCTTTTTCTTTAATAAACTTTCCAAACAGTGGCTCGTTTAATTTTTTTTTAATGCATCGACACCAATATATGTGAAACCTTTGCTCTAATCACTAATGAGCAATTATTTTCACCAGTACTATTCTCTTCTGCCAACCAAGCAGCTTTGGCTATCTTCCTCTTCACGTGTGAGCCTACATAGCAGGATTTGGCAGAGTGTATCATCATAAGAAGACATAGCTAAATCGAACCCCACCATATTTTGCCGTCCGTATCAAGCTATTCAGTGTGTGGCTGGCTTCATTTTTCATTCTGTGTGTGTTCACTTTTTCCCAATCGTGCAGTGTTGTAATTGTATTTAGAATTTCAATTATTAAAATCCCTGTTGTATCATGAAGGCTTATTACTATAATTATAATCTTGCATTTGTTATAGCGCCTTATCACATCGTTGAGACATCTCAAAGTGCTTCACAGAATATACTGTAAAGTGAATTGACTATATTTTGTGGGCGAAAAGTACTAAGTCACCTCAGTGTTAAACAAGGTCAGGTGCAAGCCACACTGAAGAACTTATTGCTGAGTAACTGCAGTAATAAAGTAATGAAAGCACAGCGAGAGCTACAAGAGGAGGGTTTGAAGCTGATTCATCAAATGCAATCGACCAACAACATTACGACTGAACTTCCAAACCACCCGAACGAACCTGGTTGATAAGATTTTAAAAATGTGTTCAGGGAGGTGGTAATGTATGGGATGGATTACAGTGATGCTCCACTTTAGCAAATTTGAAACAATTTTTTAATCCAATTTGCCTTCATAGAATTTTTACTGACTTTGACATAACAACAAGGCAAGCGGAGGTCGATCACAATATAAATTCACAGAGTGCCCTTCACATCGGCANGGGGGGGTTGGGTAATGACCCAAGGCGATCAGTTCTTTGTGAGCTGTTGCATTTTTTAATACAATGATAATTCTGTTTTTTTATAAGAAAGTCCAGCAGCAATTTGGGCAAGCAATATCCACGTACTGGCATCAGGTGACTGATCTGGTTGGGCTCCTGTGAGAAACTCCTTTTGTGTACCTTCCATCCAAAGAGGAGATGGGACCAATGGATTCCTAGTTTATCTTGGGCGGGGGGGGGGGGGCCAGATGGAAAACAAGTGGACTGACTTAAATAAAAAGGAAGAATGGACATTCATATCTGGACTTGGAATTATTTTTCTACTATCCGGTGGATTTAAAAAATAAACTTTCTAGAAAAGGTGAGCGCACCATTCAACTGGAACGGGAATGCTCAGAATATGAAAAGGAATAAGTTGGAAGAATGTAACTGCACGGATACAGGACGCACAACCCTACCAATCTGCGCAGGTATCAATAATAGAAACGCCGAGAAAGATCTCCAGCTCATAGAGCTGCTATTAAAATTGTTGACTCAAATTCCTCTGGTAATACTCAGCCGGGGTCTGCGAGCAGTGTCACGTAGGATAATAAACAGCCAGTCAAAACTCATTGGAAAAATTGGGTGGTGGTGTTGTAAATACAAACTGTCCATGTTTTTAATTCGCTGAGTCATATTAGTGTAAGTGTGGGCTTTGACACTTCCTCTGCCTGGGAAATTCCAGCTGCAAATCCATTACCTACAAGACCCATTTCGCCCACAAAAGACGGCTTCTGCACTTTATAGTGTATCCTGTGAAGTGGTTTGAGACATCCTCCTGATGCGAAAGGTGCTGCACCGAATGCAAGGATCATCACGAAGTGAATGATCAATTTTATCTGGTGGATTGTTGGCCAAGACATTCCTGGCAGAAACTTCCTTCTTTCGAATTGTGTAATATGTTGAAAGTTGTGTGTGTCTGCCTCTGAGGCTCCCACGTAAAATAAGTTTAACCAAGGTCAGACCAGTTTCTGGCAGCCATACAACTTGTTACAATTTGTCACTGTCAATTAGGTCTATGTTTCCCCCACACAATATAGTCAATTCACTTTACAATATATTCTATGAAGCTCTTTGAGGCGTCTCAACAATGTGATAAGGCGCTATATCAAATGGAAAGATTATTATTATAAGAGTCAGAAAGAGCCTGGGACTTTTAAGTCTGCATCTGGACTTAGGTTTGCCTGCAATTACACAGTACTTTACAATAAATCTTGTTAAACTTTGGAGATATCTTCCTGATGTGAAAAGTGCTATACCAAATGCAACGATTATTTCTATTTGCACCTATGCCCCAGAGGTGAAAGGCTCAATACTCAATTAATTGTAAAAAATGATAATATCTTGTTTGTTCCTGTAATGCCAGTAATGGTTTAAGAAACCCCCACAGCCAGCTTGCAGGAAGTACTACGTATTTGGCAGTGTCATGAAGTGTGGTTTGAAACAGATTGATTCAGCAGTTCTGATGTGGCTTTACTGAATCAGTCAGTGCCAAGCTTAATTGGTAGGTCTCTCAACTATGAGTCAGAAGGTTGTGGGCTCAACCCAAGGTCAGGATGTTGATTTCATAAACTATGATAATAAATATTCCTTACATTTGTATAGCGCCTTTCACATTAGGAGGACGTCCCAAGGCACTGGACAATCCACTTGAACAGGCAGACAGGACCTCGGTTTAACATCTTATCTGAAGGACGGCACCTCCAACAATGCAGCACAACATTGAGCGTGTCAGCTTAGACTATTTGAGTTCAAAACTCTGATGGGAAGTTTGAACCCTCAACCTTCCTGCTCAGAAGAGAGAGTGTTGGCAACAGAGTTAAGCTGACACTTGAATGTAAACAAAATCGTTTCATGGCTATTCGTGGAATATTGCTGTGCTCGAATTGGCTGTTGGATTCATCTGAAAATACATAGTAACTACACTTTTGTTAAAAAAACCAATGAAGTGTTTTGAGACATGATAAAGTCCTATACCAAATCTGGATTATTATTGATAGGTAATGAAGGGTTTTATGTTAGTGATGAGCTTTATATCTCCTCGCTGACTCTATGGACAGTATATCCAGTGTGCAGACATATCCTATGCCTCTGAATGCATTGCCAGAGTCAGAATGTCTGTACAGTCAATCCACACGTTGAATAGATTTTGAAGAATGGTACAAGATCTCCCCCTGGTGTTAATACAGCTCTTTTACTTCTGCAAAGAAGTAACTAATTTCTGGAAGCAGCACGGAATCAATCAGAGATCAAGCGACCTCAAGCCATGAGGCGAAAGATAGCATTTAATGTGCATCATTCGGAGACTAAATTACAGCACAATTATATACTGACCTAACCATCTTTATTGTTTTATATATCCTCAATAAAATGCAGACAGTGAAAAAATGACATAAAACAGAGCTAGCTTTTGACATTGATTTCATATGTCTATATTATTGTCATTCAACAATTTGGTGACAGAACGCGATTTATTCATAAGAGATGGGAATGACTGTGATTTAATAATGTTGATTCTCATTTTCCTTTGGTTTTACTAACACTTAGTCCCAGTAATGATTGGATCCTGGGTCTGAAGCGTTTCACAAACCCCATTACAATATACGACATCCACATTTGGTGCATGTTAGATCGGAGGTGATACTTTGAAGTCAAGCGAATCACAAGGCAGCAAAGGGCAAAAAAAAAAATTGTCTATATAAAGGCAAAGCGCAGTCCCACGCAAATGATTAACAGACATGTGACTATCTGGGATGTAGCATTGACAGTATGCTAACTAAGTCTAAGTCTGCAATGCTAAGACTCAAGTTTGCTCCTGATCCCATCTGATGATACAATTGTGCCACTGTTTAGAAGCCAGAAGCCTTACTGAGGATTCACCATGGGATTTCCTTATCCACGGCTCTGGCAGAAACCGGGATGCAAGACTCCAGACCAAGGGGGCATCATTTTAAAATTGGAGTTAGGCCATTTAGGAGTGAAACCAGAGCGGATTTTTTCCACTCAAAAGGTAGTGCAAATCTGAAGCTGTCTTCCCCCAAAGCTTGTGGATGCTGGATCCATTCAAACTTTAAAGACTGAGGTGGATAGATTTTTGTTAGGTAAGGGTATCAAGGGATATGGAGCAAAGGCGGGCAATTGGATTTGAAGTACAGATCAGCCATGATCTAATAGGATGGTGAAACAGTCTCAAGGGGCTGAATAGCCTACTCCTGTTCCTATGTTCGAAGGCCTCCACCTTGATCTCTCAGTCTAGAAGAGATGAGGTAGAAATAGATGCCAGAAAATAAAATCAAAGGCAATAAAAAAAATCCTAGAAACTGACTGTGATTCGTTACACATTTTTTTTTATTCAAGCCTAGTTTGGCAAATATACAAATATAAATAGCGTGTGGACCTTTTATTAAAAAAAAATCACTGTTGTTCACAATCTAGTGGGAGTGTTGGTCAGAAATGCTTTGTTTGGAATGCCCTCCGTGAGATTTAGTCTTTGTGAACTGTCGAGGAGCAGCGATTTTTCCTGCAAAGACATAAGAGGATTTGGGGTTTACGACACATTATATTGGTCATTGTTGTCAAGACAAAAAAGGGTAGTTTTTATTTTACAACAACTCGCATTTATATAGCGCCGTCACACAGGGTAACATTCCACAGCACTTTTAGGCTCGGGTTGGCAAGAGCCAAAGCTTGGGGACCCCAGAGTGTGTGTTGGGACACTGCTGGAGTCTAACCAGCTAAAACTACATTGATATCATTATCTGAGAAGCTTTCCCGCTGCTTGTCCCACTGGGATCACCCTTCATATTAGGACTTTAGCTTGCAGGGTTAACAGCTGAGTGGGATCATTCCCTGCCCCCAGTGATGGGTCAGCCCTTCCAATTCAAGCCAATGAGCCAGGTTGGCTGTGCTGTCATCAGCAATGCCCTGGAATACTGCGGACACGCCTGGCTCAGGAACCAGACTACCGAGACTGCCACAGAGACCTGGCTCGATTCCAGCATTCCTTTGCCAAACATGTTCAGCTCCAAAGAGACCACTTGGGGGTAGCCTTGTAGTAGATATATTTGTGGAATCTTCAGGGGAAACATGAAGTCCTCTCAAAGATATCCTTAGGTGGGAGGATTCTGTGGCAGTGACTCCCAGTGATTGTGGAGTGATGCCCTTTGTGATATAGAACAGGAAAAAAATATTTCCTTAAAAATTTGATCACTGAAGAAGATTACCGCATTGATTTTGGAACAAACAATATTTAAAATATGCTTTTGGTTAAACCACGATTGTATCGCCAGTGCTCAAACTGCATAGTGTACATTCCAGAAACTGTAGCATCTGGTTAAAACATGCACTGGTGAACAAAGCTCAAAAACAAGACATTATAATGAAGTCTTTTTGTCTTCGGATCATATTACAGAAGATTTTTGCTGTTCTTGGCAAGCGAACTGATATTAGTCTAGGTCTCTATCAGCCACTACGCCCCAAAACTCTGGAATGTTTTGCCCACAAAATACACAGTCAACTTGCTTTACAGTATATTCTGTGAAGCGCTTTGAGACGTAAAGACGTGATAAGGCGCTATATTAAATGAAAGATTTTATTACTATTAGCACTCTCCCTCAATCCCTCCCCTTGCCCCCTCCTTCAGGTCACACCTGAAGACCTTCCACTTCGACGTGGCTCTGGTCACCTCCCCCCGGCTCTGCCAATGTCAAGCACCCTGGGACTCTACCCTGCATGAGGAGCGCTATATTAATTGCAAGTTGTTGTCCCTGTTTTATTGATCTCCTCACTTACCAACAGTATTTGGAGCCACATTCATTATTGCCTCTGCAGGACGCTCCAAGGGGTCTCTGAGCAATCCATCTCCAGAACGGTGTCATTCTCCGGACTCGCTGCAGCAGAACCTCTGACTGACTTAGAGCAGCAGAGTCAGCCTAGGACACCACAGAACGTTACTGTTAACAACCATTGATGGATCATCCAGTGGGAATATTATCTCCCACCACACTACTAAGAGATGCACACACTGAGCATTGGAAAATGTCTCTGTTCTTTTTTGATCTCATTTTATTGTCTTATCTGATATACATAAAGGTTTGTCCCTGCTTCAAACCCTTCTCCCAATAAGCAGTTGTGCAAAATAGCGATAAGGAACTGAAGTGAGTTACGCAGTCCACCTTTGGATATTGTTTCACATGACCTGTATTATTTTCTTAACCTACTGAAGTGGGGAGATTAAAAGTTTGCAACAAAGCGATTGTCTAGACTTTAAATATGGAAATACAATTGATCGAGTTGGTTCACGTACAACAAAAAATAATTTCTTCTCTTCTTACCTGGCAGCTGAACAGAGTCGAAATGATGCACATTATTGCAACGAGTTTCACAAACTGGGAGATCATTTTGGAAGGAAGCGTGCTTGTTCTTGTTGGACAGGTAGAGATGTGGAACAGACGAGATGTGTCCTCAGATCTTTGGACCTTGTTTTATAGATGGCCCCAATGGTACGATCAGAAACCCAGGGCAAGATATCAGCAGTAATCCCAGTAATCAAGCCCAAAGGTCAGCTCTCTTCAGAATAATCCAGCAGATCTTCACTACGTTCAGGTTATAAAGGACAGAATGAGGAAAGGCCACGCGACCTTGTGCCCATTCCTTCCATCAAATCATTGCCCTGGAATCCACTCTGTTATTGTCTCAATTCAGTTTATTAGGACCTCAGAAGAGAAACAGATCGAGGGACATGTTGTGCCTCTTGTGCTGCTGTTTTCTTTTTAACTCAGAATTTAGCTGACGCTGCAATCTTCATACCAAAACGCTGTGATATCAGGAATAGATTTATTACTGCAATCCATGTTATCATGAAACATAGACTTTTAAATGTAAAGTTTAATATCTTCACTCTGCCTCTTTTTGTATCCCATGTGTTTCTTTTCTGTCTTTCGTTCTTTAAGTTCAAATAACGAACCATCACCGCTTTCACCATCGCATTCTTGCAGCCACACGAAGACTCTTACCGGTAAAACTAGCCTCACTTGCTAAACAAAGGTTTTTTTTAAGCCAATTCTCAAGGCAATATTAAAGTCCTGACCAGATCGCCTGAAACTGCGACATTGTTTGGATAAGATCTGAAGTCTGAAGATCTCAAGGACCTAACTCCACCAATAGTTCATTTACAGGGGGACAGGGACAGTGCTTTCAAGAACGTATAGCTGGTTAGACTCCAGCAGGACTCCAAGGCAAAATCTAGAGTCCCAAGTCTTAGCTCTTGCCAACCTGCCCTTATGCTCTCCTGAATTAGCCAAGTAGATGTGTACCTCCAGGGAGAGAGTGTGCACTTCCTTCAAATAAACATCTCTGTAATTTCCATGTGTAGGTGGGATGCATGGAACTTTCAGTTTAGATAAACTGTGTTGGGTTTCCACATGTATCCGACACCAGGCTGACTACTTTACAGAGCAAACTGCGAGCCCAAGCTGAGGGAGTGACGTGAACTGAGGAAGTTTGTGTGTGTAGGGGATTAACAAAAGGTGTCCATAAACACACTTGAAAAGAAAGATGCTTAAAGACTTTAAAGGTGTAGAGGGAGGGGGCGAAGCACAAGCCTTTGGGATGGAACTCCAGACAGTGGGTGCAGAATAACAAAATATCTGTAACTTGAAACCCTTTCCACCCTCTCCAAGCCCCTCTCCTCCCAGGGATGATTATCACTAATCAGCGACATTCAAATTCTTAATTTCCAGAGAAAGACACATAATTGTGGGTAAAAATTCAAAGATAGAAAATCAGATACTTCACCATTGTAACTGAGTAAAAATGCCAGAATATTGATCTAACTTTACAATCTACAATGGTTCTGATGACCTTTGATATTTCTCCTGAAAATGTGGAGGAACTGCCATAGATACCTCTGGCATCTCATCTAAGTGACGTCTTCCGAAGTGAGGCAGGACATCGAGTGTCGGAATGCCGCCAAATTGTGCAGTGGGTTGAGTAGGAGGCATCAGAGCCAAGGCTAATCCTGTCCTCCACTAACAACCACACTCACACGCCATCCAGCATGGGTTACAGGATAGAGATTAAGTGTCTTAGTCGATCAGCAAATCACTTTTTAAAAAAAGTTGGTCACTGAAAACCACGACCGTTTGTGGGACGCTGCTGTGCGCAATTGGCTGCCATGTTTCTCCCACAAAATATAGTCAATTCACTTTACAGTATATTCTGTGAAGCGCTTTGAGACGTCGTGAAATGCAAGGATTAATAATATTAAGTGTTGCTACACTGTCCATGTCAATTGGTTGAGCTGACTTTAGGAGTGTATAGATTAATTATAGGATACCTGATACATGGAGAATATTGGTCAATTTTTCTCTTCTCCGATGCAAGTTGTCATTGCTCTGAGTGCAGCCATAGTTATGATTAACTTATTCTTTACTGTTTTGCTATAAGCAGATTCTTATTTGATTTGGTCCAAGGACAAATGAACTGAAACAATGGAGAACATTCCCTGTAAACAAGCTTCGTTGAAATAAGAGCATATATATTCTGCATTAATCTGCTCCTGGATTCCACTCAGTCCATTCGCTCAGTATTAAAGTCCATTCATTGGATCATTGGTGTGAACCTGGGTCTCACTCTCCTTGTCTTGTTGGAGCTTTAACACATAGTGAAACCCTAACACTTTCTAGATTCCCAAGATGACACGTGCTGTAATCAACACCTATGTTGAAAGGTGGACTTTAACACATGTTCTATTGTGGTTTTATTTTATATCCATGACATTAGGATCTTAGCATGATACAGAGCTTTAAACTGGATCAATGTTTTAAAATATTGTGAACCTTGGTCGCTGATGCCACGCTAAAGACCTTTGTTTGCTTAATACTTGTGTGTGTTTCCTCAGTATGTGTAATGTCTGTTTCATTTCCGTGAATTGCAAAAACAGAAAGATCTAATAACATTTTCTACCTTTGAATCCCACCAGTGCAGCCACTTCGATGTTTTGTGTGCAGAAGGTCCAACCGTCCGAGAGCAGACTGCCTTAAATATTGTGAGGGAGAAGGAAATGAATTTGCACACCAGAAAATTGTATTAAAAACTTACATGCTTTACAGTGCAATGTGAATGATTTAACATATGAGTGGGTACCTGCAGTTTTACTACCACTACTACTAATAATAATCCTATAATTATAATAGCCACCTTATCACATTGTTGAGACGTCTCAAAGTGCTTCACAGAATAAACTGTGAAGTGAACTGACTGTATATTTTGTGAGCAAAATACAGCAGCCAATTGAGCACAACTCAATTGAGCACAGTCGTGCATCGAGTGACCAAATTATTATTTTTTGGAAAGAATTATTACACCCAGAAAGTGATCCACTAATTGACGAATAACCAGGTTCCTACTTACTGCTAACTAAACAGCCCTGACTGGGAATTGAACCCAGATTCTCTTGCTTGCAAGGCGAGTGCTCTAACCAACATGTTACAAGACTTCCACAGGAATCCACAATCAAACGTGTAGGGGAACAAGATTCCAACTTAATATAACATACAGGAGCAGGAGTAGACCATTCGGCCCTTCGAACCTGCCCCGCCATTCAATCATGGCTGATCTTCTAATCTAACTCCAGCTAATAACCTGACCCTGCCTTATCCCCATATCCCTTAATCCCTTTTGCAATAAGAAATACATCTATCTCAGTCTTAAACCACATAACTGTTTAAACAAAACAAAAATACAAGCCCAATAGGTAAAAATAGTTATCAAATGCTCATCTTTCTATAATATTCTTGATTGCAATCGCAGAAATTACCGCACAATAAGCGTACCAGTCTGTGATTTACAACCACTATAACCAGATTCAATGGCCACAGCTTATCTCACACAACAGCCAGTCGATGAGGCTTGTAAACTGTGGATCAGAATGATTTCCAGCTACCAAATAATCTGATCAGGAAACTTCAAGTCGACAAAAGTCTAATTGATGTAAAACAAAGTAAGTTGATATAATAGTTCAATAACCTGACAGACCTGCCCGAAATAAATGAAGGTTAACTCAAGGGCAATAAACTAATTTGGCTGCTGTTTTGGACCTCACTGCACAATGGTGACATTGTTTACATGATTATCTGCAAATACTGTGTGTGGGGGGAAAACAAACATTACAAACAGATCATAAGTGTGTGTACAAAATGGCAACAGTGGGAAAAGGAGGCATTCTGTACTTTGGGCACAGGTTCATAAACAGCAATGGGTCTGATCCAGTGTAAAGTTCACTCTCCTCTGCAGATTTAAACTCTCAAGTCACAAGATCACCTCCTGCTGCCCTGGAGTGATATTTCCACTTCTCCCACATTGGGAAGCCAAGGGGCTGGTTCTGAGCGAATTATACTAATCCTTGCATTTGATATAGCACCTTATCATGTCTTTGAAATGTCTCAAAGCGTTTCACAAAATACACTGTAAAGTGAAGTGACTGTATATTTTTGTGGGCATTCAAACCAGCAAAGTAAGAAGTAAAAACTCGGGCGGGTGGGGTGCAAAATCTGCACAGAAGCCTACAGCAAGTTATACATCATAAATATTTATTTTCCACAATAGGAGAATTTATTCAGCAGAAAGAAGCAACAAGCAAGGTTCATGAAGAACACACTGCATTAAATCAGTCAGGAGGATGGCTCCCTCTGCTCAGGATGATTCACTCATCATTGGCAAAGTCAGCAGGATTCTTTCTCTTTAACCGCTCATTTTCTTGGTTGGCCCAGGTGTACACCAGGTACGTCAGCACGAATGCTAAAAAGAATGAAAGAGAAAATAAACGCACAGGATTAGCCTTCACGAAACAAGACATTTTTTGTCATATTCAAAAGATTTTACTCTGAACAAAGGGAAAACATTGCTGCAAAGAAACTGGAAAGAAAATCCATTGGCATCTTCTCCAGGCTTCAGTTCCTAACAACAACAACAAGATTCCATTTATAAAGCGCCCTTCACGTCAGGAGGACGTCCCAAGGCGCTGCACAGTTGGGTCATGACCCGAGCAGGGGGGGAAATGGTCAGGGTGAGGGGAGGGAAGGGAGGGAGCGAGGAGGGGGGAAAATGGTCAGGGTGAGGGGAGGGGAGGGAGCGAGGAGGGGGAAATGGTCAGGGTGAGGGGAGGGAAGGGAGGGAGCGAGGAGGGGGTAGAGAGTCGAGAGCGGAGCTGAAGGCTCGGTCAAAGAGAAAGGTTTTGAGACCGGCCTTGAAGGAGGAGAGGGAGGAAGCGGCGAAGGCACTGGGGGATGGAGTTCCAGAGCCTCGGGGATGAGAGGCTGAAGGCCCGACCACCAATGGTAGGGCGATTGGGGCGGGGGATGTGGAGCAGACCGGAGCCGGTAGGTAGGGGGAATAGTAGGTTGGAGAGGTAGGAGGGAGCGAGGCCGTGAATGGCCTTGGAGGTGAGGATGAGGATCTTGAAATCTTGAAATCAATCCTCTGGGGGATGTTTTATTATTATATTAAATTATATTATTATATTAAATATGTAATATTTAAAAATGTAAAAGGCCACTATTTAAACACATGCTCTAAACAATCGTTTCTTTTTCTACATGTACCCACACAATATATAGTCAATGTACTTTACAGTATATTGTGAAGCGCTTTGCGTCGTCTCGAAGATGTGACAAAGCTCTTTATCAAATGCAAGGATTATTATTATATTGTGTTTTTATTATTTAAAGAGCTCTCCTCTTATGGGTCTCTCGTCCACAGATTACAGTCACTGCACTTCACAATATATTCTATGAAGTGCTTTAAGACATCAGAGCGATGTGATAAGGCGCTGTACCAAACGCAAGGATCATGATTATTATAATCACTATTTCCTATTCAAAAGAAAATGAATGTTCCCCCCAGCTTGGGTGCACATCCTTGACTATACAGGCACTTTGGGACGTCCTCTTGAAGTGAAAGGCACAAAACTAATGTAAATTGTTGTTGTAGTACCCAGGTTAATGCTAAAGTCACATTTTAAGTGAAATCAAAAGCTGTACCTGGAGTCAAATCAAGATGAACAAACATCGTATTAGAGGGAGCAGAGACAAAACAACTGTCCAGACACCTACGTTCCAAAGATCTACATTTTAAAGGTTCACTTGTTACAAGGCATAAGGTAAAGCAAAACACAAGGCAAATGTTAGATGAGTGGCATAGAAAAATCCCGCTAATACAGATTGTAGTACTTACGAGGAGCAACCTTAAACACCTGCGCTCTGAATCGTCTCCACACATTGGGGATGCCTTTGGAGAAATAATTTGCAAACGCTCTCTGTTCAAAGGGAGAGATGGTGTAGGTGATGATGTGCCGCATCCGAATCAAGTTTCCAAATTGACGACCCATTTCAATGAGTCCAAGTCTGTAATAAATATACAAACCAAAAAGGTTTAAAGATTATGGGCACACAAACTGCTACTAACAACCAATACCGAACTGCAGAACAATGTTAAAGTCTACATAAGTATCTACATAAATTACCCGATACCTGTTATTCTCTAAATTGATGGTTTTATTTCCGTCAGCCAGTGACTGACGTAGAATAAACCAGGGACGCCATCACCCTCTCTATTAAATGTGACAGCACATATCCGTCACGCGAGGGCAGAGTGTGCGGTTCCTCCCCCGGGTTGAATAGTTTGTACATTCGCAGCAACTAAACTCACAAAAGAAATACTACTTTGTTCCCGGAGAGCTCCAACGCACTGATAGTGCTGTGAGTGCCGAACCCAAACAACTGGGCGGTCATCGAGTCTGTCCCTGTTTCTCTGCCTCTCCCCCACCCTCATTTCTCTCTTTCTTTCACTCTATCTGCCCGTCTCTCTCTCTCTCGCTGCCCCCACCCCATCTCCTGCTCCCTGTGTGACTCCCTCACTGTATGTGTCTCTCTCTATCACTCCCTCGACCTGTCTCTCCCCCATCTCTTTCTCTCCCCTCTTCTCTGTGTGCATCTCTCTCTCTCTCTCTCCCCCTTCTCTGTATCTCTCTTCCTCTCCTCCCCTCTCCCTCCCCCTCTCCTCCTGTCACTTTGACTCTCTCCCCCTCTGTCTCTCCCCCTCTCCTCCTGTCACTCTCTCTCCCCCTCTCTGTCTCTCTCCCGCTCTCCTCCTGTCACTTTGACTCTCTCCCCCTCTGTCTCTCTCTCCCTCTCCTCCTGTCACTCTCTCTCCCCCTCTGTCTCTCTCCCCCCCTCTCCTGTCACTCTCTCTCCCCCTCTGTCTCTCTCCCCCTCTCCTCCTGTCTCTCTCTCTCCCCCCCTTTCTCCGGACAGTCGGGTGGAGTGAGTGGCTGTTGCCTGGCTCAGGCCTGGGGGGTGGTGGTGGTTGGGGGGTGGTGGGGAGGTGTGGGGGGAGTGGTGTGGGGGTGTGTGGGTGGTGTGGGGGGGTGGTTGGGGGTGTCTGGGGGGGTGTGGGGTGGTTGGGTGTGGGGGGGGGTGTGTGGGGGTGTGGCGCCTCTCACCTTGGGATGTTCCCCTTCGCTCGGGTGTGAATGGCGACCCCCAGAAAACGTCACTTCCGCCGGATGTGTGCGGGGACAGCGAGCGCGGTGCACAGCGCATGCGTGGTGTCTGTTTGTGGGTGGGGAGCGCTCAGCCAATGGGAGGCGGAGCAGAACAATCATCACTGACTGACGTCATAATCCTTACAATAATAAAACTTACATTAATATAATAATATAACAATCCTTACAATAATATAATAATAATACAACAATCCTTACAATATAATACAACAATCCTTACAATAATATAATACAACAATCCTTACAATAATAATATAACAATATAACAATCCTTACAATAATAATATAACAATATAACAATCCTTACAATAATAATATAACAATAATCATCGCAATAATAATGATACAACAATAATAATCCTTACAATAATACAATACTCCTTGCAATAAAGCTAATGATATAATAATAATCCTTGCAATAATACAATAACAATCCTTACAATAATAATGATATAACAGTCCTTACAATAATAATGATATAATAATACTTGCATTTGATACAGCACTTTATCACTTCTTTGCGACCTCTCAAAGCGCTTCATGGAATATGCCAGAAAGTGAATTCACTGTGTGGGAGAAACGCAGCAGCCAATTGCGCACAGCAGTGTAACCACAAACAGTCGTGGATTGAGCGGATGCTTTTTTTAATCTTTTTAGTAGGAAATCAACGCGATAACGTGCTTTTATCAAATGCAAGAATTATTATTACAACAAATATAATTGGAAGGGCGTGTGAATTGCAAAACAGAATAAATCTAATAACATTTTGTACCTTTGAACAGTTTGTGTCCCACAAACAGTCATGGATTGAAATGACCAATCTTATTGTTATTTATTTTGAAGGAATTATTACTCCCAGAAAACCAATCCGCCAATCAACTACTTACTCCTAGATAATATTATTATTACTGCTAGATAAACAGAGGTGTAGAGAAGGAAACTTGCTCAACATTTTGCCCTGCTGGGAATCAAACCCAGATCCTCTTGTTATTTAATATTATATTTCATGTTTGTCTTTTACTTTATTTAAGGTGACAATGTTTGTAAAATTAATCCATGGAGAATACATATATACACACACATATATATATATATAAAAAATTAACTCACCAGTTTGTAACGCTGGCAACAACTGAAGAAGCTTGTTGGATTAATGGCTGTGTTTCTCTGACGTTTTAGAATTTTATTATACTTGCTCCGTTTGTTGCAGAACTCAGGACAGAGCAAGTTTGACCAGGACGCAATATCTATTGGAAAGTTGAATGATGGTGTCCTATACCATATGCTGGATTGATATGACTTATAAGCAACCAATCTTCCTTTGAGGAAAATACTTAACTGTGGACAAATTTCACCCACATATGCAGTCAATTCACTTTATAGTATATTCTATGAAGCGCTTTGAGACATCTAGAAGATGTGAAAAGTGCTATATCAAATGCAAGGATTATTATTATAATAAATGCCATGCAGTTGTTAAACTATAAGACAATTATACCATTTGCATGGAAGTCTGAGGATTATAGTATATTTAATGCTTAGTCCATTCTACAGCATGATCAAGTAGATCAGATTGGGATCAAGGCTTCGATAACCTATCCTCCTGTCTAAAGCAGTTTAAAGAAATACTTGGGGGGAAAAAAATAAGGCTGTAGGGAAAACTTCAATTCTTCAACTCACCAAGCCAGTCAGGAACCTAGGTCTCTTGTTTGATCCTCAAGTCTTTTCTTCCCCACATTCAAGCTATGACCCGCTCTGCCTTCCCTCAGTAACATCGCCCAACTCCGCCACGACCTCACCCCTCAGGCCGCTGAAACTCTTGTTCGTGCCTTCATCACCTCCAGGCTCGACTATGCAAACGTCCTGCTTGTCGACCTTTCCAACTCCTCCCTCCACAGGTTGCAGATAATCCAGAACTCTGTAGCCCGTGTCCTCTCCCGCACCAAACTCGGTGACCCCATCTCCCCAACTCATTGGCTCCCTATCTTTCAGAAGATCTAGTTCAAAATCCTGGTCCTCACCTACAAAGGGCTCAATGGTCTCACCCCACCCTATCTCTATGACCTCCTAACCCCCGACCAACCCGCCTGCTCCCTCCACTCAGCCAGCTCCGGCCTGCTCCACGTCCCCTGGCCCACCATTGGCGGGAGAGCCTTCAGCCACACTGCCCCCAACCTCTGGAACTCCATCCTCCAATCACTCCACCTCGCCCCCTCCTTAGCCTCCTTCGAGTCCTGCCTCAAAACTCTTCTCTTCAACCATGCCATTGGTCACCACCCCTTCCCCTCCCTTCTCCCCCCTGACCCCAGCTCAGGTCTGAAATGCTGTACACTGTCCAGCTCCTTGGGACGTCCTCCCGACATGAAAGGCGCTATACAAATGTAATCTTGTTGTTGAAAGCAGGGGAGCGAGACTAATTCAATAGCTCCTTCAAAGAGCTGGTACAGGCACAATGGGCCAAATGGCCTCCTTCTGTGCTGTAGGATTCTAAACTGGGAATAATCATTTAGTAATTTGCTGATTCTCACCAAGGTTATTTGAAGCCAAGAACATTAAGAGTCTTAGCAAACAGTAAAAATCGATAGTCTAACAATTGGCCATGGGGTAGCATTGAAACATTTGCCTTGTGACAAATTCCTGCTCTGGGTTTAGAATAATCAGACGAGAGGTGGTAATTAGATGAAACATCTCCCAAATAGTCAGACCATCATTTTCTCTTGGAGGGAACGAAAGAGTAAATCTGAACAAAAAAATCATTTGCTTTTTTTTATTTGAATATATACAATTTCTGATCATAGCCTGCATTTGTCTTCACTTAATATATTTTCCATAATGAAGTATGAATCTACCAAGATACCAGCTAGGTATTTTTTTAACTACACATAGTCACAGAGTTGTGCAGATAACGCTTTGTATCACTTGTGTCCTTAAAAACATGTTAAAATTACATAATTTCAGGGTTTCGGTGGAATGTCAGACAGCAGAGAGATACCTTCCACCGATGAAGCCAACTTACAGGTCACTCTCCACATTGTGTCCATCTCAAAGTTGATTAGATCTGCGTAGCCTGGCAAAGTGTGGCAGCATTCTCACTACTACATATAAACATATCCACCAAAATCACCCAAGTGAGAAATCTTGCAATAAAGACACCTAGTTTTCATAACTTCATGAAAGTTACATTTATTTTTTAGCATGGAAAAATCAATTCTGAATAAATATAGCAGCCCACTTCCTAAAAGAGACTTGAATAAGATTTCAGCCAGATTACCGAATAGTCATACAAAACTACCAGTTTTTGGGAGAGAAAGCAGCAGCTTTTTTGGGGTTCTGCGGTAAAAAGAATAAATCACTTTGCCTGTATTGCCAAGAAAAACGTCATTTTTTTTTTAAATACACTTATATACAGTATTCAAATTTATGTGCCCTTCTGAAAAAACATAAAAACAATCAAATTACCCCCCCACAGACAGAATGATATGAAAAACAAAGCCATCAAAATACAAAAGCCAACAAGCACTTTGCATTGATGAATTTGAGGCCATACATCTTTTGTGCAACACTTAACTATATTCCATCATAGGTGTCAGAACGGGACCAGTTATACCATGCAGATTGCATTAATCAGGTGTCATTTGTGCATCAAAATTAACAAAATGCTGTAAGGTACAACGACATGTCAGGAGCTGGGCACCTCATTCAGGGAAGCGATGCAACCACCGTAATGAAGTGGGGTTCCATCGATTCACTTTGTATCAGCTGTGGGAGAAACCATGGTCTAAAGCTACAACTAATGCAAAGTCTTTTTTTTTTTATTTAAACTTAGTTTAAAAGTTTTTTTTAAAAAACATTATTAAAGAATCAGCCAAATTCAGATTCTTTAATAAAGATTTTAGAAAAGTTAACCAGCATTCAGAGCCGGTTAGCGGAGCTTGGCATAAGCATTAGGTGTCTATGGACAGACTCCAGTCAACTTGTTCTGAACCCACGATGAGAGCGATGCAAAGCATCTCCCAGTTGCTTGCCCGTATCGCTCTACCACAGGCACCGCATCGAAGCAGTGCCTGTGGGATTAACTGTCTCATCTCACTGCAAATAAAAAAAACACTAAAACAATTTAATACACTATATTATGGCGCTTTTCTTGGCTTTGCAGGAATAATACTATTTTTCCATGCCATGCAAGTCAGCAACAACCTTCAGACTGATTCACATACATTTCATTCTGGAGCCAAAATGTGCACTATCGGCAGGTACAAGCAGTAGCAATCATGTCCTCATACTCTTTGTAGGTTACAGAACCATCATTTTCCAGCGTTAAGACACTCAGGGGGTTGTAGCCAGAGGGAACACAAGAGGGTTGAGGGATGGGGGAATTGCCTTTCTCAAACAAGATGTTCTGTACAAGGGTGTGAACAGGGGAACCATAGCGATGACCCAAAGCCCTAGGGCAGCTTCCCCTGCAGAAACGTGGATTGTAGTTGTGTGGAGCAATGATCCAATGATCCCATCTAAGCTGACTGAAAGCCAGCCTGAAGTCGTGGAGCTGACATTCCTCCTTGGGATGCTGCAACCAGGGGAAGCGATGAATATTCTGGGGTGCCTTCACCAATCCTCTTCGCTTGGGACCTCTGCGTTTGCGAATGGAACGCGAACTCGAACGCCTCACCAGTTCTCGGCTTTGATGGGACGGGGCTTTTGCTAGTGACTGTACCTGACCCAGCCTGGGATGGACATTGAGCTCAGTTTCATCATACCATCGCTGATGAGCTTGTCCACGAGTATCATTGAGGAACAAAAGTAAGGAAGGGGCCATCAGAGACAGTTTCAATGGGTTGTCATCACCATCTCTGCCTCTGGTGAGGTTGGGGTGAGACTGGTCTGGTCTCACGCACCAATAATTGAACACCATGTGAAGGCTCCCCTTGTGAAGCCCAATAAAGGGTTGAAGAAATGAGGTCAGGTCCACTTCCACCCACTCGTGCCTCTTCCTACGCTCTAGACGCAGAAGGAAGTTGTGAGATCGTTGAGCATTGGAGCAAGTCTGCAACCGAATTAACTTGTGGTCTTTAACCAGGAGATTGCAGTTGCACAAAACTGGGAAATGAATGGGTTTGTCCACCGAGTAGAGCAGCACCGATCTCAACAGATCCTCCGTAACAAAATCCAATCCATAGTACACATCCTGCTTGAATGCTTCTCCTGAAAGCACAAGGAGAATAAGGGCATTAAGTCTAATTTCCCTGAACGTCAGGTGATCTGACTGACAAGTCACTGTTGCAGTAGAACTCATAGCACATCAAGCATCCACTTCACATTTGGTGTCAGGAATATAATAACCCTTGCATTTGCCTTATGTTGTTGAGACGTCTCAAAGCGCTTCAAGAATATATTGTGAAGTGGATTGATTATGTTGCTGTGTGGGCAAAACACAGCAACCAATTGCACACAGCAGTGTCCCCACAATTCGTGATAGATTGACTTACCAATTTTTGTGTGTGTGTATGTGGAATTATTACCCCTGGAAAGCAATCTACCAATGGCCAACAACTGGGTTCCTACTTACTGCTAAATAGAATAAGGAAACTTGGGTAAGGCTTCACCCCACCTGAGAACCAAACCCAAAATATGGTTTATAGTAAATGCCCTACTTTCTGGGCATAAATAATTCTCATATTTGACCTAGTACCTTAAACAATCTTAAAAGCTAATTTAATAGTACAGGGTAACTAGAGTTAATTGGATACATTGAACAATAATTACTGAGAACTGTAGCAACCCACAAACAGCCAGGATGCCAATGAACACATTTGGTTGGAAATTGTTGGCCAGGACGCCAGGAAAATCACCCTTCTCATCATATTAGCACATCGCCAGCATTTCAGACCAATGTAGAATTTGGCAAATAGAGCAGAGAAGGAAAGGTTTCCGAGGCAGACTTGGCACGGGTGGTTGGGGGGGACCAAGGCAAGTAAAGAAAATATTTGGAATAAATTGGTTAAACTAGCAGTGTGATGGACTACTGCAAGTTCCCTGAACTTTTACAGCCGTTTGGGATTTTCTCCAGGGCACCACATCGCAATGTTACCATTTAAGCTCAAGCTTAATGGTAGCAAACAGCTTCCAACGTTAATTCCTCCAAAAGAGTTTCAAGTCCCAAAGTTTTCAGCGCACATCTACAGAAGGCAGAATAATATGGACACGAGTCTCTCGGGTGGAAGTAACAATCATTTAAAGACATTGGAGATACAAACAACAATAATAATCCTTGCATTTGATATAGTGCCTTTCACATCTTCCAGACCTCCCAAAGCACTTCACAGAATACACCGTAAAGTGAATTGACTGTATATTTGTGGGCAAACGCGGAGGCCAATGGCGCACAGCAGCGTCCCACAGACAGTCATGGATTGAAAATGCCCAATTCATCATTGTTTAGGTTTTTCGGAGAGATTATGATCGGGCGCCCGGACAAGAGACAGACTAAACCCTTCCGAAACAGTCGCAATACTATCGAAGACATTTCTTTGGGAGGAGAGAGAGAGAGAGAGAGAGAGAAGAAGAAAAAAAAAACCAAGACAGGAGAAGGACATTTGGTCAGATGTTGGGAGGATGGATGTGGGAGAGAGAGAGAGAGATCTCACCGTCGGTCTCAGTGCACAGAGTCCGAGGGGTCAACAACCTGACGGTGTTGTAGTGATGATCGACGCCTCTTCTGGGGATGCCATCCTGGGTGGCCGACACGGTGTAGAGCCTCCGCATGTACCGCAGGTACCTGGTGTCGGGCTTTGTCGGAGAGCTGTGGTTACTGCCGTCTCTCTCCCTCAAGACCTTCAGGAAGGGCACCAGGAGTCCGTAGTCATCGGAGCTCGGAGGCGCCTCCGATGCGTTGCAGAAGGAGAAGAGGACCAGGACCAGCACCAGCCACGGGCACAGGGGGCACAGGGGGCACAGAGCGCCCATAGCGTCCAACACAACAGTCACCTCTCACCGCGGCTTCCAACTCATTGACGCTTTATAGAGGAACGACAGCGCAACCGACTTCCCCTCTGCGCTCCCGAGGAATTCCGCGTTATAAAGGAATTCTCAACCAACAGATCCTCTGCTCTCTCTCTCTCTCTCTATCTCTCCCTCTCCGACCGACCCGGTGATTGGGGTCTCGAAGATTATTTAACGATGAGCAAATCACCCAATGGTCCACAGAGAGCAAATCACCCAATGGTCCACAGAGATCGTTTGGAAATGACACGCAAGAATGCGAGGAGTGATTTGCCAATGCGAATAGGTGTGGTCCACACTCACTCACACTCACTCACTCACTCACACCTGGTGTGGATGGTTGGATTGGGGTTGGGTGGGGGGTAGTGTGCATTAGATCAGTCAGGTGGGCAATCTGTTCAATGAATGCCCTTTGACAACCTTGTTTGGGGGGTGGGATGGGGATGGTGGGGAGTGGTCCTGTTCAAGCACAGACCCTTTCCATCTGAGTAATGGCACACACCAGTGGCTCCCCCTCCCCTCCCCTCCCCCCACCCCACTCCTTTGATCCAGTTTAATGTGAATTTCTCACGTTGCATTATTCCAGTTGCACACAGGCAGAAGGTTCTCAGGTGGGTTTATTTCAGGCGAATCCTTCGATGGACCTCTTACTTGTCGGACTTGTCGGAAATCTCGCTTCGAAAACTGCCGCTTCTAAAAAGTTAATGTACCTTTCAATGTCAGTGAATTTTCTGCTCCATATTTGGTTTGTTCTCTCTGGTCCTGTTGAACTTTACCCCTCACTCCCAGCTATTTCTGTACCATTTGAGTGTCTTTTCCAAAACAAGCTGCTAACTTTCCCCCCATACGCCCTTAATAATAATAATAATAATAATCCTTGCATTTGATATAGCGCTTTTCACGTCTTCTCAATGTCTCAAAGCGCTTCGCAGAATAGACTGTAAAGTGAATTGACTGTATATTTGTGGGTGAAACGCGGCAGCCAATTGCGCACAGCAATGTCCCACAAACAGTCGTGGATTGAAAATGACCAATTTATTATTGTTTTGTTTTGGAGGGAATATTATTAGGTGTGTGGAGTAAGGAAACTTGCCCGAGGTTTCACTCTGCCTGGCATTGAACCCAGGTGTCTCGCTGGCAAGGCGAGCGCTCTAACCACTGAGCTACAGGACTTCACATTTCTTCTGTGTTTGACTTTAGCCTTAGGAGTATTTTAGCAGAGTAAAATAACCAGTTGATGATGATGATGATAATAATAATCATCGTTGCATTTAGTACAGTGCTTTATAACCAATTGGGAATAGTCTTGTTAAAAAAAATCCATGACTGTTTGTGGGACACTGCTGTGCACAATTCACTGCTGTGTTTCGCCCCAAAAAATACAGTCGATTTACTTTGCAGTATATTCTGTGAATTGCTTTGAGACATCTCAACGACGGGATAAGGTGCTGCATCGAATGCAAGTGTTATAGTTTGCACCTGAGCTGGTGGTTAGAATCCCGAGGGGTGACGGGCAAGGAGGATGGAGGTGGGAAGATGATCAAAGGCGTGGTTGAAGACAAAGATCTTGAAGGGGGCAAGGTGGAGGGGCTCCGAGATGGATTTCCAGTGGATAGGGCAGATGGGCTGAAGGCCATTGATGGTGGAGTGGGCTGGCTGGGGGGACATGGAGCAGGCTAGTGCCAGCCGAGCAGAGGAAGCGGACAGGTTGGTAAAGTTTATGTATGTCACAGAGGTAAGGAGGACCTCAATGCAGACATTATTATCTGTCATCTTGTCTGACATGGAATAGTTTGAGGGGAAAGTGAAGAAAAATAAAATCTGAAGTCAATAATAATAATTCTTGCATTTGATGTACCACCTTATTGCCTCTTTGAGATGTTTCAAAGCGCTTCACAAAATATACTGTAAAGTGAATTGACTGCATATTTTGTGGACAGAACGCAGCAGCTAATTGCGCACAGCAGTGTAACCACAAACAGTCATGGATTGAAGTGACCAATTTTATTATTAGTCGACCAGCAATTACTGCTAGGTAAACAGAGGCATGTGGAGTAAGGAAACTTTCCCAATATTTCGCCCTGCCGGGAATCAAACCTAGGTCTTTCGCTGGTGAGGCGAGTGCTCTAACCACTGAGCTACAGGACTCCACTTAAACATAACTTATGTTAAACTTATATCCACGGCTAAAAATTTGGTGCAAAGAGACTGAAATTCAGTAGCAGAATGTTATTTCAATGGGATATTATTTCACTCCTGCAGAGGGCAGCAAATGAACTAACTAATCACTACCGCAGCATTTGTTTTTGGTCAGCCGGGTGTCTGGCGCGTGCAGAAACCCATCACCATGCTTAAAAGTATCCAAACCAAGCTGAGGTTTTCAGGCATTATACCTACACGTAGAGATCCCAGAGATAGATTGAGACCATTCTATTTATTTTAAAAGAAAGGTTTGGACATTCTGAGATAAAACAAGGCAGACATTTCTTTCTGCATCTTAAATATAGCTCCTTATTATGTCTTCAAGGCATCTCAAAGCATTTCACAGAATATACTGTAAAGTGAATTGACTGTATATTTTGTGGGCAAAACGTGGAGGGATTATTACCCCCAAAAAGCGATCCGACAATTGACTAACAACCGGGTTTCTACTTACTGCTAGGTAAACAGAGGCGTGTGGAGTAAGGAAACTTGCCTAAGGTTTCACCCCACCCAGGAATTGAACCCATTGTACGAAATCTTTATCCAAACTGATCTCGTGAGGTACTTGTAAATTATCTGAGGAGCGCCACTCAGTGGTTCATTTATTTGCAAAACATCAGCCTCCAGTACATATCCTCCACATATTGCAAATCCACCTCGTCAGGCCTTAGGATAAGATATGTGGCGCTGTGTAATCAAGTTTTATTGAAATAATAAATATTTGAAGATAACAGTTGATGCTCTATTTATGGGATGGAGGCGCAGCTAGTGAACCAAAGACAAGAAAAGACCGTGTTTGCTAAATTACTGCCGATTAAGTCTTTTGAAGGGGAGGATCTAAGACAAAGATCTGCTATGTACACAGTCCTGGCCATTGCCAGCTGTCTTGATGGGTGTAATTCTGTTTCTTCGATTTTCGAACCTTGATAATCTCTCTTTCTAACCCAAGGCACAAATTCCATGACCCCGCCTATTTGTAATGTGTATAGACAGTAAGCATATAAACATGGGTGGGATATAGCACTGTGTATATAATACAGAATTCACAAGGATAGGCTAATGGGTTGATGACCCACGAGGACACGTCCTGGCATCTGGCTGTAGAGATACAGAACTGGGAGGGAACGTTCCTTTCAACTTAGGAAAAGTATGTGATTTGGGACTGGGCATTGCTGGAGGCAAGAATGTAAAAACGAGTGAAAGTTATGAAACTAAAGTGCTCATCCCACCATGTCACAGTTTCGGGCGAGAGCTCTCGGGGAGCATTTGTTCTAAGCGGTTTTGTTTTGAAGCACTCTCGAATTACACCCTGTCAAAGGGAGCCTCTCTCTTTAAAGCTCTGCTCGAATTGAGTTGTCTTGACTCAAACATGCCCACTTGATGACATTCAGTGAAAAGACCAAGCGACTTTGAACTAGCTCACTGGTGATAATTACCTCTGTCATTTGAAAGATGAGAGTTTGAACTCCACAGGGCTGTAAATGTTGATGTGGAGCTATTATTGTCAATCAGGCCAGTGAAATTCAAGTCACCATAGGTAACTTGAGAATCTGGAACTGAATGTTTTATTTCACAGTCCATGGGGAATACTTCAGATGAGACATTAAACTGAGATCCAGTCTGCCTGTTCTGATCGACGTTAAAGATCCCGTGGCACTTTTCGAAAAGAAAAGGGAGTTTCTTCCGCTTCCTGGCCAACAATCTGGCTGAAGATTCCTTGGTGCAGTGAGCATAGCAAAATTGCTCTCGCAGGATTTATGCTAACTACAAAGTTGTGAATCGCGCAGCTCCTGAAATCGTCTGGTTCATAAAACGAAAGCAACTCGGCAGTTTGAGTCTCAATACAGTACCATCTGCTGACATTTGCCTACAAAAAATGTACAGTGAATTCACTTTACAGTAAACATGAAGTGCTTTGCGACGTCTCAAAGATATAATAAGATGATATCAAATACAAGGATTATTATTATTGTTACTATTATTATTATTATAACCACGCCAACATAAACTTAGCTTCTGAGTCCCACCAACGGCTTTGCAATTGTAATTTTTGTACAGCACGTGAATGAGACCCGGTGGGCTCCAGAAACTAATAAGAAAGTCATGCAGAGAGCATGGCAGTTATATTCAGGACGAACATGTGTGACAAAACCTTTTGTCTGTAAGAAAACCAAGCAGGCTCAAGTGGATCATGCTCAAACATGACATCGCTTGGGTTGTTTGTGATCTCTTGTGACAAATTATTCAAGATTATTTTGCACCATTGCTTTCCACTAAAATAGAGATTACTTGAGCACTTTTTCCATGAAAATGGTGTCCCTTTAAAATGACTAGCTTTGTGAACTTTTGCAGGGACTTTAAGAGCTCGACTATCTATCAATGGAAGCACATTGGCCTCTTACACTGACTGAGCGGAGCTATTCTCTTGATAATTGTTCACAATTGTTGGCAGTGACAGTTACTGTCCTGGCTCCTCTCCAGCTTCCTCCTTGTGGGGCTAATGCGATTGTAAAGTCCTTCTCAGCTCCCTCCAGAGACTGGTACAGTATACATTGAAAGATTACGTCTTGAATAATGTGTACTATTGAGAGTGAATATACCATGTGAGCTGCATCTTCATGTCTGTTTGTAGACCTTGTCAGTGCTGTGGCTCCCACACTATTGCGCAACCTGTTCAATTTATACATTGGAACATTTAACTCCAGAATTTTCTTTTAACTAAAGTACATGAGGGGGTAATAATCCCTTCAAAAAATAATAAT